TGTTATTTTGTTGATCCAAAACCTCTCGCGCTTCGTTTAGTTAGGAATTTGAAGTGTCAATAGATCAGAAGTTGCAATATTATGTTAGATAACTCTTAGCAATAATGTGAGGAAGTATTGGATGTTGTTGGACAACTACTTCTTTATGTAATTTTACTACATCTCACAGTTTTGGGCACATATAGCGCAGTCGGTTAACAAGTGGCCGATATATCAAGGGTATGGATTTGATTCGCAAAAATATGCATTTTCAATGTGTTGAGGCTTGTTAGCCATTTCAGTTCTCATCAGCAACTGACAAGCACTACCTTTCCCAACTAACGTGGAAGTGTAGTCGCGAGCTTCTGGGCTACCTCCGCTTACACACTCAAATGGCTGAGAATGTCGTAACAACTACCTCAGTTCGTACGTACAGATCGTTGCACGGTACTTGGTGTGTAGGGAGAGTAGTGCGAAGGAGTAGATTACCTCCCTCTGCGATTACCATAGGTCTGTCGTTTACGGTCAACTTACGCTTCGGAAGAAAAAAAAAAAAAGCGAAATTTACATCGATCAGCGGGACGCGGTTATCCAATCGGGAGCGACTTATTTTTAAAAAATTTAAGCTCTTTTTTGGATAATCGGGTTCCATCAATTACATCTCAATTCGCCCTCTGCTTCAATCGGAAAATAGAATCTCGCAAAGCCCGCAATTTTACCCGGAGTTTTTTTCTCCAAACACACTTAATAATGCACTTTACCGTTAACAGAAACTCTCGGCACATAAATAGCAGGCAGAAGAACGCTTTCGTTTACATGTAACAAACACGAAACGATCCTACCATGATAGGTTGCAGAAGTGTCGAATTAACGCAGCTGAGTGTGTAATGGCGGATGGCACGGGAATGCTAGCAACGCGTGTACAATAACCAGGCGCCACACACCTTGCACGGATGTGTACCATGCGAGTGGTGACATGGTTGATTGTGTCCAGGCACTTCAGCTACTACGGTCAATAGTCCCCGTTAGAGTAATGCATGTTTTAATCCGGGATGTGGCGGTGTTCCTCTCCATATGATGGCGAGATCCGGCGCCGAACTACATTGCTTGCGGGGGATTTCACCTTCCAAGTATCTCCCCCAGCTGGACTCTACCCCAGCCGGGAGCCCTCTAAGCTCCCGATTCATCTCCGACATGTGTGGCAGTGAAGTGCATGTAAGTGTACGCGCGCGTGTGTGAGGAGAGGATAGTTCAAAGAAGGTGAAGGAAAGGTCGCGCGTGGTCCGTTTATTAGGTTACTGTCCCGGCATTCGCTGGCACAATCGGATAAACCATGAAAGGCAACAGATTGGAGTAGCTAGGATTCTCCGCCAGTCAGTGGCTGCTTTCGACCTATTTAGCTATTAACTTCCTAGTATCGAAATTCCGTCACAGACGGAATTTCAACACAGAGACTTCTCAGTCACTGCAATCGGCGGCAATGCAGGTTCTGAACTAAATCCTGTCCATCACTGATACGGGCAAGATAGTAAGATTCGATGATGGAGTGACCAAATTTATGAATCATCATGCGAAATGAATACGGAAAGGGGGGGGTGCGACACATACCAGGGGGTAATTGTTATGTTCAGCTGCTCGAACATTATGTAAAAAGAATGCACCAACGCAAGAAAGCACCAACGCGATTGTAATAAATTCCCAGTAACTACCAGAAATAGTATATATTACAAAGATCATATAATTCAAATAGTACTAAGTTCAACTAAATCCTTCATCTTCGTCAACAAAAGCCCTGCCTACATGTCAGCATGTGAGGACACAACGTTAACAGTGTAATATTTAATATGTTCACTCACATTAACAGTGTTGCAATTCTCAACATTTATGTGTGTTTCTCATTTAACAGTGTTGAAAGTTAAGAATTTTTCTTTTAAATGATTGAGATGTTCCTTGAGGGCACCAGATTGCCACTGGAAGAGTAACAAGAGGGGTAAAGAGGGTTGCGGAATGGAAGTTTTAGTACAACAGAAAACTAGGGTTTTTATATTCAATTGATAAAAGACACTCCCTATTGAAGACGAATGGAACTTTAAAGCCATCAGAGATAGATCCCTTTTTTCTTTCTGTTTCCCCTTTTGTCTAGCAGACTTCTTTCTACTTGATACCCTTCTTATGAACCTTGAGCTTGTTCTGATTTTAATTTTCCCATACACTAGTACTTATGTACTAGAAAAAACCATAATGTTTTAAACAATAGATGTCACGATTTTTATGAAAATAAAGACACTGTTTAGGTGTTCCACTAGCAAAAAAGTGTTAAATTTTCTTTCAAAAACATGGCCATCTATCTGTCCTTAATTTAATATTATTGTACAATATTTTGGGACTTTCCCCGTTTCCATTTGGAAGTCTCTTAAGGTGTTATTTGTGTGTTACCTTCGCTTATGAATTCTATTTATTCTCTACATCACACAATTTTGACTTACTTTTTTCTCACAATGAAAAAAAATTGCAAATAAGGAAGTGAAAAACAAAAATTAAAAATAAAATATACAAGTGAATAGGGAGTACAATGTATAAATGGACTGTTACCAGTAAACGTCAAAAGAGTGTAGCGAAGTCACATTATTAATAATAATCCCTACGAGTTCAAAAATAATATGACAATTATAATTTGTCTCCAGAAAAAAGTCTGTTTCTTGTGAAGTTTCAATCAGAGGTTTGGGGTCCAGTACATTAGCAACTACTCTAAGCCCAACAACAAATTAAACATTTGTAGAAAGTACAGTGCAGTGTCTGTAGAAGAAATATAGAATAATAATAGACAAGAAAAGACTAAATAAAACCTACCATCTTCTCAACAGGTTTAATTTTGACAGTTAGTAATTCAAATATTCTTGATGATTTCATTGAAAGAAAAGCAACATTTTCAAGAAACAAATGCACATTGTATCAGGAGTTCTCAAGGTATTTGTAATTATTTACTCATCATGGAGACAGCTCCTGAAAAGTAAGGTATCAACTGCAATATACCTTGCATACAAACAAATATAAAGGAATTAGAGCAACGTTGTGTAATATTTTGCACAACATTGTCTCTTTTCATATTTGTTTTTTATGAAAAGTTTAAATACACGATTTATTATGGATTTAAATATTTATGGCAATTAAATGATTCAATATAGAACACAAGTATATAGATATATACATTATCAGTACATAATGTTGTCATATTGGACAAATGTTGATTGATATGTTATTATTGGTAAATCCCACATACGTGAACAAAATAATTGTTTGATAATGGGCATTCTGATATCAAATTAAACTATCCATTTTCATTTTTTCAGAATTTTAAATTTAATTTATTTTTAAATGGCAAAGAGGAAACAAGTAGAAAGCTTCTGGAGGTAAAGAATGTACGAAAAGAATATGAGAAGTAAATAAAGGCCTGATGAGCAAATACAGTTGAAACATTTATATACTATAAAAGGATGGAACAGTGTTTTAAACAACTTGAAATGCTTTTGTGTCAAATAATTACATCAGTACTTCTCATTTGTTTAGTATTATATTGCCGCTTGAGAAAGTTTAACATTGTCAGAAATAAACTGTCGTATGTCCAGCAGTTATAATCCATAAAATTGCAAAGTGGTGAAATTCCACTCCAGATGTGGAGCAATTGTGTAATCAGGAAAGTTTAAGCCAATAAAATATCTATGGAAACAGTTTAAAATGTATTAAAAGATCACTAAAGCAAATCTATATTCAGATACCAAATATCACTACCCAACAGCAGATGAATATCAGCTCAAACATGACTAAAATGAGATTTCTTTGAATAGTAAAAAAATACTCAACAAAAAAAACATTTGAAGCAACAAATATAAAACTAAATAATTATAAAGATAAATTATAAATTGACATGAAAAAATAAAAAGTATTTTGGTTACAAAAGAAATGAACAGCTTAATGACAATGACATATGTTGAAAAAAGCTCTAGATATTCTAAAAGACACTAAATTGTCCTCAAAAGTTATTTTTCATCAAGTTACAATAGGGGATTAAGGCCTTATCCATGAAAGAACAAGAACAGCATTTACCTTGTCTTATTTTCATCAGCAAAGAAAAGGAAGTCTGAGTAAATAATAGACTACAAAATAGATCATTACAAAGGAATTCTTTAAATGTATTTAAGTTCATTACTATGCTAACAATTTGCATCAGTGAAATTACAGCAACACTAATTATTTCAATAAGTATAAGTATGCAGATAAAAAAGAAAAACGCATTCTCTAACAAGAAAGAAATAAAAAATACTCCAATCAAGGTTGAGGTTGCATGACCCAGCTTACAATCATTTATGTTTAGTTGTAAAATTGAAATTCTGATTCTATTATTCATGAAAATGACCCTTTAATATCTAAAACAAATAGCACCAAATGTTAGAACGAATAATGGCATTTATTTTCAATGACATAAACTTCCTTTGTCATGAACAGGTTCAAAACTCGAATTCAAACATTAAGAGTAAGATCGAAGTCACACTTATGTCGCGGCAACAGTCATGATTTTGACCTATCATGATACGAACTGGAGAATTGCTTTTAAAAACAAATTGTGGTAAATATTTTTTTTAAGAAGGATATTTTTAATGTAACAATAACAATATGTGATATACGGTGCCGAATACGCACGTGTAGCCACAGCCCATAATCTCACATTTTAAAGAATATAGTCGCCTTTGGAAACGAACTGAAATGCATAGAACTGATCTTATCATAGTTCAATTGATTTACACCGACTAATAACAATAAGACACCTTCCGCACTTAACCTATTAACTTGTACGCAAAAGATATCGTTACTCATGTTTATCGATTCCTACGGAATCGGTCGGCGACTTTGCGGGAACATGAACAGTCTTTCTGTCTTTGCATACCAAATCGAGCTTCACACATTGGCATACATGAAAAATATAAGAGAAAGCAAATTTGCCATGTAACGAAGACAGCCATTACCTACTTAACAGCTGACAGCTGAGTCCCCGTCCACCACACCCACCGACACCCACTATCTCAGCACAAACACCGCAGCCTAGAGAAGAAACAAGTTCCAATGCGACTTTCATCATCACCATCCCTTCCCTCACACACAACTGGAATGTGACCAATGGAGTCCCGATATGCATGAAGAGGGTATTATGAAATCCGAGCCAAATACAAAAATACCGGGAGTATTTATTCTTCGGGTGAACGCGCTCTAGAAAAAAAGACATTTTTCTTTCTTAAAAATATTTAAAGATATAAGCTTTAAATTAATAACTCCCATTTGCGACAAGAGTAACTAGGTGGAGAACTATTCAGAGAATGCCAAAATTTTGTTCTTAATGTAAGATTTTTCCAAAAGCGATAATTTTGTTTTACATACCATAAAATGTCGGTACGATAGTAACATATCCATATTTCTGAGTTCTGACCCGTTGTCCCGAAACACAGTTGGGACGCCGAAGTGTCTATTATTTTAGTTCTTCCCGTTCTTCTCTATCGGTATCACGTCCAAAATACACTAATTATATGAGTCGTTTTCTGCTTAATTAATGCGAAAAGGGAAAAAACTGGAAATTCGAAAAGTACACGTTAAAAGTTCAATTTTTTCGAATATTTCATTCATCTTCAATTTGGAAGTTAGAGATGTTTTCATAAAGTTCAATTTTTCCTCAATATTAGATCTTTCATGTATTTCATACATGAAACTTGAAATACATGAAATTTCGTGTATGTATTTAATATACAAATTTCTGAAAATATTAGTTTTCACATCATTTTGAGTTATAAAGTGACAAAGTGCAAGTTTTTGAAACCATTAATATTGTAGTTAGAAATTTATTTCTTAATTGTTACAGCAATGCTCTCATAGAAGAAGTTGTAAAGAAATATATTTCCTTTGAAAATTGTTATTATTTGCCATTTTATCAAATGTTTTCATTTTATTCTTTTATTATATTTATTTTTATTTTATTCAAATGATCAAAAGTTCTAAAATTTGAAATGTTTTAGTACCCAGCATTTATAAAAATATATATAAACTTTAAAATATGGTTCTACTGTCTAGAGAAATATGCAAAAAAACAACAACACATAATTAGTGTAATTATTCATCTTCTGTTGGTCTCTAGTTTATGTCATACCATGGAAGAAGAATATTTTTCCATTGTCAGATTTTACTAAGAGAGTTGAAGTATTTTATTTTTTATTCTCTGAATTTTGCAAATCTCAATAATTTTCATATTAAAGAAATTTCAACAATGTATGCACAAATTTAATAGTTCTGTCAAAAAGGATGTATATGCATGTGACACTTTCATTCTTGACAGTTGACATGAAAACGACCTTCATCGATTGGCGGATCCAGGAGGGAGGGGCATGGGGGTCACGTTCCCCCCTCCCAAAAGGCCTAGAATTTTTGCTTAGCTTCCTTTATTGGGCAAAACTGATATAAATATTTATTTATATTTGAATAATGTAATTATTTAAATAATAATATTGTATATCATATCTATAGTACATAAATAATACACAATATAATAACAAATATGTTTATTATTTAACAAATATCTGTGATGACTCCCCCCAAAATCATCAGCTGGATTTACTCCTGCCTTCATGTCTGTAATCATTTTCAATGTTTTTCTTCAAGAGCAACATGTCAGTGATATATTATCAAGTTTTTTCTCTTTACATTATAAACTATTGAGTGGGAGTATAAATGGCAGCTCCAAGGTAGGGATGTAATTTTAATTGTTGTAATTTTACTCAATTTATTGAAAACAAGTACCATAATTTTGATCAAATCACATCCAAAAGTGTACTTTGATTATGAATTACAATTTTTTTTAGTATTTCAATTTTTTACAATTACAATTTACAATTACATTTTACAATTACATTTTTTTTTAGTATTTCAAAAAATATTTAGGATAAAGGGAGAAAAAGTACACTAAACTTGCACTCATGGCCTTTGAAATGCATCTTGCCTGAGGAGTATTATCTGAGATCTTCAATTCCCTATGAGATTAAATTTATTTACATTTTTATTAAACTTTTAAAAACTGTGTGATGTGTGTGGGAGAAGTACAATTGAAACATTTAACAATATTTTAAATGGAGTTGAAGGAATTAAGACTTAAGCAGTTTATATTTAGACTTCATTCTTGAATCAGGATACAGAATTAGGAAAGAACAGATTTTATACTTTTATGTGCTGTAAAATTGAATTATTATATAATTTCAAAATTCAATTTTACATCCTGATTATGAGAACAACAATTCTTGAAACTGTTGCATGATTATAAAATAAATTAATGTTACAAGAATTCGTCAGTCAAAATATTAATCCTTCATAAAATCATATTTTGTATTTTGACAATATACATACACTTTTAGCACATTTAATGAGGAATCTAATCAGATTAATGTCATTTAATTTGTTTAATCGAACATGGGTGAGATTTTAAGACATGTTGTTCTACTGTCAATATGGCCAAAGGTGGTGGGCCAGCATATTACCAGGACTTACGGCTATATTAACTTTATGTGTTTGATACACTAATGGTTTTGTGTGTGTGTGTGTGTTTTTTCCCCTCTAGAAAATTAATTCTGCAAAGAAACGGGTATTTTTGAGCCAAATCAATATGAAAAATAAAGCTTTAATAATCTATTTTTATTAACTATTAAATAACTACTGTTTTAAAAAGTGATTTATTTCAGGCTATATTTTTGTAAAAGTAGACTGTAAGAGGGTAATTCAAGGGTAATTCATAGTATGTACTAGTACAGCTAGCCCTAGTTCCATGATCATGCTATAAGAAACCACTTTATTTGGTATAAAACCTGCATGTGTGCATATTACCTTCAAATTACAATGTTTTTGTAAGACAACAATAAAATATTCCTGAATCATTTTTTTGGGATATAGCTATTTCAACTTGAAGCAAAAGTGTTAAATTTCATCATGATGCTGTTAATTTGGCCAACTATATAAAAACAAGAAAAATTTGATGTGTTTAGCATGGCCATATTACCTTCACATATCTTATCTATTCCGTATTTGGTTTTGTGATCATGCTCAAATGTTAATTCCAAAACTCTCAATCAGATGACTTAACAAAAACATAAATGCTAGGCTTGTAATTATGAACAGTCTGATTTTTTAAAAATTTTCAAATAATAAATTTTATCTGATGAAAAAGTTAATTACAAAATTAATGGAATCATAATTCAAAAAAGGTAGTTCGCTTTCTTAATGTGATACTTTTGCCTCAACGGAAATTATTTTAATTTAAATAGTTGAACATTTTGATCAACATTTAAGAATAATTTTTACAAATATACAATTCCTTCATTAAATTGAAATATCATTAATGGAATTATTCAATTTACATTTGAGATGTCCACATTGAATACACATGCACACACACTCCCTCGTGCTACTCTGAATTTGAGGTTCAGGACTGATAAACATTAAGAAATCAGAGTGAGTGGGTAGAAGGTGAGAAGAGAGATGCAATACACTTACCTTATAGTAAGTCCTTTCCAGACTTATTCCAGGCCAAGAAAGCATTCACAATCTGAACACATTTGTGGTGGTGTTTTTAGGCATTGGAATCAAATACTACTTAATTTGCCAGACACTTTTCACACATTAACTATTAACTCTTTAAATACATAAAATTCTTTCCCAGAAATATAAATTTAAAAGATGTTTTCATAGAAAACATTTGTGTACTATTACATTGCTAGTTGGAAATATACTCCATTTTCATAACTATTTATAAAAAAAAAGGTTTTATGTATTAGAATGAAATATTTTGTAACTAAAATAATCCTTCCTGTAATTTTAACTTATTTCAGCAATCAAATTGAAAGAAAAATGTAAAATTTCCTTTTAGTATATTATCTCTCTGAACTATATCTGTTTATTAATTTTCTAACAATATACACATTCACTTTTTTTTGTGGAGAGGGAAGGGGTTTAACCTGTCACCTAGCAGTATTGCTTGAAGGAAGTGGGTTCAATAGAGATGGATTGCCTATAAGACAAGGAAGATTACAAGCAGGCCTATTTTATTAAAACAGAGAAAATTAGACACAATACCTGCATTAGAAATAAATTTACTACATAAAACAGAAATAAAAGAATAATTGTGGTCATTTATTTGTTCATAAGAAAACAGTAATTAACTGTGGGTGACATCTGTTATGGGGTAAATAGATCTGTCCATACTACACATCTGTACAATCTGCACATATTTTCTTGAAATCTTGAATCCTATTTTCTCTCCTTTACAACATGCATTACCAGATCATTACTCTGGTCTGCCATTTACATATTCACAGTTTGGCACTATTTGAGGTAATTGAGAATGGGCATTTTGGGATGGGAGATCATACCATGATTTAGCCATAAGAATGGATGACGAGACAAGGTGAGATATCATGGTGGGTTCCTTCTCACTGAATGGTGGGATTAAGTGTTGTCCTAATTGCCAGATTACCTATCTTCCCCTTGCAGAGCACCACCTCAGACTTGGCAAGCTCTAAGCTCACAGTATGTGAGAATGTAGTGAATGTAAATGTAATCATAAAAATGTGTTAGGGGAGAGGAACAGGAAGATTAAGAAAAGCACATTCCATGTCCTGTTTTTTTGAGTTATGCTCCAGTAATTGCTTGGTATATTATTTAATTGGAGAAACTATCAATCAGTACAGTTGGCCTCCAGAGTTTAATAGCTAGTGTTAAAAATTTGCCACAATCAGTTCCAGCCCAAGACATCCTAGTCAAATTCTTAACTTAAAATTCGCTTTTTCATTTACTGGGTATTTTAAGACGTTCAATGTGTTTTTGGAGATTGGGATGTAAAGCATATCTCTGACAGTCATTTTTTAAATTCACTGACGTCCTGGTCTAATTCAGCAATTTTATCCCAATCAACATGGTGATTTTGTTCTGTATGGTGTCTGGTAAGGGGACTGTGTTTTTGTGGATCTAATTTTATATTATGCTTATGTTCTATGAAGAGAATATCAATTTTTCTCTTGGAAGCACCTACATAACACTTGTTATAATGGAATTACCACTTGAGATCTCATATACAATATGTTGTAATAACTCTTTCCTAAGAGCTGATTGCTAAAAACAAATATATATGTAATTATGAAACATCAGATAATTTATCTACAACTTATAATACAGAATAGTTCATGAAAACTTTTGAAAAACTCAGATGTGCAACATAATTTTCAATTTCATGAAATCTCTTCTTAACAATTCAATTTCTTAAATAAAAAAATGGTTTCATTCAATTCTCCAGAGACAATGCCATAAATTAGCTCTTGAAACCTTGTATTGTGGACTTTATGGTTGCGATCTATTTGGTCATAATTTGCAAATCATTAAAAATATAAGAGGATGTGAGAAAGGAGGCACATGCTGAAAATAAGAATGACAGTTGTTTAATAACAAAATAACATTACAATACATGACACATTTCCTGACAGAGATTACTTACATCCAATTAAAGGCACAGTTTTAAAAACAACTGAAAATTTTAATGAGATAGCACAATCAATATTTTTATAAGACCTTTTAAAGTAATACAAATGAAACAAAAAAATGTAATTTCAAAAACAAACAACATTCTTTGAATATTGCAATAAACAAAAAACATTTCAACATGCCACATTAAACGTACTTGAAGTGTGACCAAAATATCTACCCTTGTGAATATGAAGAGTGACCAAAATGATCCAATTATCAACCCACTTTGGGGAGCCCAAACATCACTCAACACTAAACATGAAACACTTCAATTTCAACATTTCTCTCAAAACTAGCATGTGATTTATTAATGCAAAATTAATTTTTAAATATTCTGAATTGAAGATCTATAAATAGAATGAAGAATTAAACTGGTAAAAGATCATCGCCAAGTTCTTCATCACCAAACTCATCCTCTTGAGGTGGTTTTTGACCTGCAGATGTTCGAGGTCTCTCTGCCAATGGGCCGAGAGGATCCACATAGCCAACATCTAATATGAAAGAGAAACATTATTAATACTAATTTAAATAACTAGTAGTCCTAAAACAACTCATACATTCTCACCCCTTAGTGACAGTTATGTAATAATATTATACCGTATTTCTGTCTATATCAACACATCTCAGTCAAAGAGTGCTGCCAACAAAGCGTGCATGCAGCAATGCGCTGCCAACAATGAGCACTTATTTACTTATCAATTCTAAAAGCGCCATTTTTGCAATAAATAGAATGGTTTTTTAGTTCACATTGTTGTGGTTTTATGAAAGTTCTTCTAAAGCATTCTTTATGGAACACTTGCTTGTTTTGAATATATACAATGTTTCGTATTTGCTGCCAAGTTTGTATGTAAGTTTTTTGAAGAAGAAGAAAAGAAATATATGCGAATTAGCGATCATTGTTGCATGTTGCAACACATTGTTGTAATGCCTCATTGATAACAAAAGGCGATAATGATGACCACAGTTCATAAGCATTAATATGAACTATTAATTTTATTTGCGACTAAAATATGCATCGCACATCATTGGAACATTTGTATACATGGATACACTGAATTCAATGGCAGTTTGCAATGCAAGTTGTTTTCGTTTAAGTGTTTGAAGTTTAAAAAAATATATGATTTTTTCATACTTTGTTTTCTAAGAATATTTCAAATAGTAATTGAAGTGTATGAAATTGTCATATTATAATATTACATAGCTATTAGCAAAATCGCAAGAAAGTATATGCTGTTGTAGCACCACTAGTTAACTTTTCCATATAGATCATATAGAACATACAGGAGTTTATCAAATTCTACTCAAAATTTAACCTTGTGGAGTTACAACAGTATGTACTTTCTTAGATTATTTGTAACTTATGAAATATTATAAAAGTACTTGAAACACAAAAGTGATTCCAACCCACAAAAATATTTGCTTGGTCTAGGATTTGAACACATAGGCTCACATTGTAGCAGTCATCTCATCTGATAAACAACCAAATGCTTCAGACACATACAAACATTCCCATTGCATCAAAATGAGTGTTGAAATTTTGCAATATTTAAAATTTTAGAGGTTCAAGAGTCTATACCATTTTATTAAGCAAGATCTAACTTTGAAATATAGATTTCATTTTCAAAATCTCCATGTTCAATAATATAGATCAACAATAACATCAAAAACTTTTGCAATTTTCGAAAATTTAAAAAAGGTAAATGATAATCAGATCTCTGTCATTTTTGTGTAAGAAAGAAAAAATTTGGGGACACTTTTGAAAAATTTTTAAAAATTACCTAGGGTTTTCATATAAAGTACCTCTAAAACATGAGATTTGTTTCAAATTTGAAGCAATGCAACCAGCTATATTGATCAGAGAATATCCATTTTGGTGAACATTTTGGGTACAATTTAAACACTAGTGTTGTTTACAGACCGACAGATGTTTTGAAAAAATCCACTTTTTTGGTACCAAGGATGTGAACTAGATAGAGTATTGTCAGAACATGAATTTTGATTATTCTAAGAATAAGAGAAAATAATATTCTACGCAAAAGACACTTTATTGGCATCAAGAACCAACAAAATGTATTCTGTTGAAAAATTGGCACATTTTCCCCAACACCACATACCATTCTCTTCAATGAGTAGTATTTAAGAAAGTAAGAAGGCATAACTGATGAGGATCTGACCACCTTCTTTTCAATAAAAGTTAAATTGGTATATTAGAAAATTTGCACAAAATCAATACGACAGATTAAACTTGTTCAATCTCTTTGCTCACCAATATCCTTTTGACTTGTTGGAGTGAATTCGAAGTCACCATCACCAATTATTTTCCCCAGCTTTATATCTGATCCATGGAGACTGCGAGATCCTGGACTAATACCTCCTCTGTGACCAGCAGAAAATGAAGACCCGACATCACTTATGGGACTAGTCCCCATTACTGCAGATCCACCGCGAGATGACAAGGCACTGCCACTGTGTCGTGATCCTGCAAATGTCCATTCAATTCTTTTTAGAATAACACGCAGAAACCCGATTACACTTCCAACAGAATGAGAGAAGATTTTTCAAAAAAAGAAAAATGTTTACTAAAATGCATTCACCTGGGCGACTGCTTCCAATTCTTTCACGAACTTCTTTTGCCTTTTCAGCTTTCTTTAATGCCTGAGCATATTCTGTAGCTTCTTCAAGACCAAGATCACTGCATATACGTACCAAGAACTTGAGACCTAAGAAATACATCAACAATGAAGATATGAAAAATAGAATATCTCACAAGGGATAATTAAAATGAAAGTGGTAAATGTTTCGCATATCAATATAACTTGTATAAAATAAATACTTAATCTCTTCTAATCATAGAGGTCAATTTAAAAATTGACTAATTTTTATTTTCACTACCAAGATCATGAATAACAAAAAATTGATCCTAGAAATTAATTATCTCTAACAATAAAATGGATCATTTGCATTCTTAGAAATAAAACTTACTAGATCTTAAATCTCTAACTTCCTTTTTATACAAAGGACTTTCTCAGCCATGTCTCATGAGATAACCTTTAAGGAGTATTCATTTAAGACTTTGAACATGGACTCCTAGGCTGTGTAGTGTGCTTAGACTGTGTCATTTCACAAGACAACATGATACTATTTTCACCCTTTGCATAAACTAATAATATGTTCAACTAGGGACTCAAATCATATTATATTTTGTGAATAAGTTCTTATCTTATCCACAATTCAAAACCTCCAAAATTACTACAGTTCTTATAAAATATAAAATTGTATGTATTCATTATACTTGACAAGCAAAATTTCTGCAAATCTTGAATAAATTGTGGAATTCAAAAATTTAAAAGTTTTGAATAGTTCGTCTTTATCAGGGAAGGTCTTATTAACTCAAGTACTAAATGTTCAAAATAACTCATTGTTTTTTTAATATGCATTTATTTTCATTAAATTGCACAATGTCATTAAATTATTTTATTAAGTAATGATACAAAAAAAACTTATCCAATTACCACTTACATTCAATGTTCTCAGGAAAAGCTTTATGAATTTCTTTGTAAGTATTGAGAGCTTGGTGGTAATTCCCACTACGTCGGTGACAAGAAGCAATCATGAGTTTCCACTTCACTTCACCAGGATGCATGAGTGAAGCTCTCTCAAAATATCCAATAGCTTTCTCTGCAACTTGCATTTCAATGAAGTAGGAACCAAGCCAATCAATAACTTCAAAGTTCGAAGGAAAATGCCTGTAAGACTGAAATAAAACATTATTCAAAAAGCTTACCCAGCATTCAAAAATTAATTATTTCAATGGAATATCAAAAAAAGGGGGGTTTTCTTAAGAATAAATTTGAAATATGTTATAAACCTTGAAGGAATTATAAATTTTTAAAATATATGGTAGTGTATGAAAAAAGTGACAACAAATACTTGTAAACAAATTATTGGTTTAGAATACAGTAAAATCTGTTTAAACCAGAACCTGTACAAGCGCTGTAATTCTCTGTCCCATGAAGTTATATTGTATTTTACCCAGCATAAAACAGAATATGTCCAACACAGAAACCGGGCGGTTTTCCATGTTCTATAGAGGGGAACATCTTTATGAAACAAAATTCTTGTAAATTTAATGCAACTGGCTGAGACGCGAGATATTCTTAATGTAATACATTAAACTATCATGCGCAATTTAGTAGCGGCAACCGCCCTGTGAAGGAGAGAGCTTCAGCTGACAGTATGGAATTCGACCTTGAGGTACCTTATCTCAAAGCGTAGGCTGTAGGAGAATTCCCTCCCCTAATTCTCAGAGTGTGGGAAGGTGTATGGATAAGGCTTCTATTCAGGCCTTTCTTTGCCCCACGTTAAAAATCGTAACCCCTTGACCAGAGACGCATTTCTCAAGGCCATGGGAGGGTAATAGAATGTAGTACTCTGGGCTCTCATGCATTGTGCGTTGAAAAAGTCAGCAAGCAGTCCCATTTCAGCCAATAGGCAGTGAGGCGGTGTGTATATGTTTCACAACCAGTTTATCAAAACCATAAAACTCTAGCATTAGATGAAAAGGTCAAACTTATGGAAGCAAGAGATATTCAGAAGTTGTCAATGAAGAATGTTTAATATTTATTTCTTGGTGATTTTTTCCATAAATACGTTATATGTAAATCTATTTTAATAATCACAAAAAAATCATGTCATTTTTAATTTACTTTAATTACTTTGTTACTAACAATAATTTGCTGGTTTCATACCAAAAATACCAATATCACAAGTGTTGATAAATTGACAACCCTGCATAAAACGAAAACCTCCCTAAACCAGAACATTATTTTGACCCAATCGATTCCAGCTTAGACAGATTTTACTGTATTATAAAAAGATTTGCGATTCTTTACTTAAAAACTTTCATGTCAAATGGAGAGACCAATATTGTTCATGTGTTGGCAAGGTGGGGAGATCCTGTCTTTGATATAAGGGGTCGCTGTGAATCTACTGCCTCACACCCATACCACCTAGTCACTAATCTAGGTGGAGTTGCTCACACCCCTTGTTTTCTCTGGGTATTTTTGTTTATGAGTAATAAAAATTATAACTACTGTATTTCACATTATGAATACAATAATTATTCCTATTCATAATAAATCTTGAGGAACTATCAAAAAAGTATGAATTTGATTGTATTATGGTAATTTAAATATTTTTAAGAGACGACTTACATCAAAATGATACTGATATGCTTGCTGTTTGTCACCTTCATTATCAAACATTTCTCCCATCTTCTGTAGAACATTAGGATCACTTGGTACTAGTCCAATAAGTTGTAAGTACCTACAAATTTTTGAAAGTTGTAACATAAAAAGATAATGAATGAAGAACATTGCCCTGATGAAGTTTCATAAAAAGAATCAACAATATTTCCCTAGAATTCATCACATTAAAAAGTTTAAGAATCAGTGGAATCATTTACCAATCATTGAACCTGACATCATCAGCTTTTTTATCTCCCTATTCCAAATTCAATGACAGAAGAAATAGTCATTCTTACCAGTAGTGTCTCCTCACTCTCGACCTAGGATTTTTGCACGAAGGGAAATTGTTAACCTCCACACAACTCTTTTTGCTTACATATTTGGAGTAAAATTGCATTATATAAACAAAATCGTGATTTATTTTAAATTATAAAATTGGAAGAATGAGGGAAAGATAGTCGCAAAATAACAATGAGGATGTTGTGTTTTCTATTGCAAAGATTAGAATAAAATTTTTTAAAAAGTCGTACACGACGTTTTTCCCATTCTTCGGTTCTCGTTTTAAAAATTAAATTCTGAAATATTATCAGATTAAAACATGGCCACCCATTGTCGCTTGTTTCTTTTCTTCAAACGAGAGGAAAACAATTATTTAAAACTTTTGTTCCACTTTTTCAGTATCCTTATAAAAAAAATTGACACTAATTTCATGAGTATCGCTGAAGTTTGCAACGCGTAACGGAGAATATCTCAATCACGGTTGCTCGCCCTCCAGCAGGCTGTGACACTTCGCCAGGAGGAATGTATATATTGCATACCGTTAGAGAAAAGGTGTATCCAACCGCATTCAGTTTGAAAGCCGTTTCGAACGTTTTGTTCCTCAGAGAACCGGGAGTCACGGATAAGCATCGCGACACCACCGTGAGCACGGAGTCCGTCATCTTGATCAAACCGATAGAGGTTAAACCCGCGAATGCAGAAGGGATGATGGGGAAGAAAATGAAATTCCTGGAGGTAGACTAGAGATGGTCTGGGGTGAGAAATTATCAATCTCAATTCTTCTGAATGTGCACAAAAGCCGTTTAGATCCCAGGAGAGAACAACTGTAGGAAATTACGTTTTTAGCTTTTGTTTTCTTTCTCGCCTTCTGAAAAGTTGAAGAGGAACTCCCGTGGTACCCCTCGTCAACAGCAGAGTCATTCTTACTGCTGCTGGAGATGGTCGCCTGTGTTGGGGGAATTTCCCGTATTTGTGCCACAGGCGACCGAGATGTACGTGGGCTGGAGGGTCGCTCAACGCGAGTCTTAGAAGTAGTAAGAGGAAGGGTCTTTTAGTGCAGAAGCGATATGTGATTGGAATATATTTCCTTAGGGGTTCAGCAAAAGTGATCTGTCGCTGAAGGAGGTTTTGTCTATGTTATTAAACTTTGTTGATATTTTTACCCTTCCAATGCACGCCGTATCTTCAGGGAAGTCTATAGCCTATACCTGACAACTGAAGTGCGCTACTAGAGCAGGAGCACGTTGAGTTTGACGGCTTACTTTTACCTCTGAGGACTTGGTCTTTAAAGTACTAGGGAAGGGTCTTGACAGGCCTACTGGATTTCTAGCCTGGCGTCAGGGTTTGACCAAAGGAAAGGAAACCTTTTGGGCGACTTATCTTCTGAATCTCTTTCCCGGAGAAAGGTAGGGTACTAGTTTTAGTTGGCTGGATGATCACCTTCACAATTGACACAGAACGGTGGAGTAGCGCAGAGATGAGGATCGTACACAGATGCACCGCACTTCCCGCACCCTAGGCTTACCGGCATACATCGTTGCTGGGTATGCCTAAACCTTTGACACTTAAAACAGCGCAAAGGATTTGGTACATACAGTCACACATGGAGGTTGTAAAACCATAACTGATCCTTTCCGGGTGAGACGGACGGTCTAACGTAAGGAAGAGGTTTGAAGTAGGGATCACTTTCCCCTACTCTTTCCTTTTGATCCTATAGACTTCAGTCATGTCCTGACTCTTGAAAAATGTTATGAGTTCCTCTTCACTTTCGGAAGCAAAGTCTGTGTGGTTCACTATGCCTTCGCACAGGATCAAAGTTGGGTGCATCGTCACCCCCACCTGGAGGCCGGCAATCTGCTTGGTTTCTGCTTGGTGCTAAAAGAGAATCGTTCAATTTCTCTGTCGCACGACCGCTTGAAGCTTCCCATATGTTTCCTCTAGTTGCCAGACGGACAGGTCTTACGATTTTAAACATTTTTTCTTCCTCGGCGCATGCCAGGAGGAGAAAACAGGCTTTTTCGGGCGGTCATCTTTTGCAGAAAAACTATTTAAATCAATAGTACCTTGCGTGTATCTCCTCTTCTTAGCGGAAGAGAGCGGGGGAGAAGGTTTATCCGTGGAGATGGATATAAGATTCATCCCCATCATACCCAGCTACCACGGAGCCATTGGAGAGCCCGGCTTGTCACGGAGATATTGTGTGTGTGTGTGGGGGGGGGATGTCACAGCGCTGCCCCGCCGTGGATCCCCACGCTCACCCAGGAATTCAGAACAAGACCTAGTCCCAGCCGATTGTTCGCGAGGGAGTTAGCTCCCGACTGCCCGTCTAGAAAAGTCCGAGGGCAAAGCAAGTGTGTGGGAAACCTATACGGAATGTTCCCCACAATACGAAAACAACGTATCCCTACATGCAAAGCAGAAAGTAGCACAATGATTAGTTTGGAAACAACAGGTCCCTCAACTGCCAGGACACACACCCCATCCAACATGGATCGCCATGCACGGCAAACACATGGGTGGGCGTTCAGCATACGGCGGGGGGGGGTAAGTAAAATAGAAGAGGAAAAAGAAAAGAGCCAGGATGTTAACAGAAGAACTAGAATGAAAGATGGGGGAAAATAAAGATGACTGGTGAAAGAAAGGAATACTTGAGAGCCCTCTTTCCCCCCCCTCCCCATCCCAAATCCCCACCCCCGCCATCCAAAACCCTAACAAAATAACCGTCTTTCCAAAGAAAATTAACCCATCCACAACCACCCAGACTCCCAGTCCCCGTCCTGTACGGGGAGAGGAGTCGAAAACCCCAAAAATCAAAAATAACACCAAAACGCCCAACGTTCGAAGAGACCCCGAGAGGGGTCAGGCGAACACGAAACATTACACCACAGTGAGCAGTGAGAGCCCTCCCTGCAACCCTCATGACGTGGATCGACCCACCTGACGGGTCATTTGTTTAGAATTTACTTTGTCAATGAATATTGTTTCATTGAATATCACCATGAATCAATGGTATACATCCATTTTACTATGCTCATTCATATATTCTTGATGATTAATGATCGAATTTTTAATTACCATGTCGTTCGTCTGTAATAATTTTTGTGCTTATAGATTCATATTAATTGTCCGTATTTGGTTATCTGTCTATAACAAGTCGTAACTTTATTATTTTTGTTAGAGTCCTACGTCTTAACTTGTGTTAACATAAAACTTTAATCACATAATTTATTCGTTTTTTCTATTTAACATCATTAGCATTATCTATATTTCTAAACAAAATGTCAACGTCGTTGATTTTAATTAACTACAACGCTCGTTTATTGTCCTTACCTGCCCCGACTTACTTTCTTTAAATATTGTTTACTACTCCCAAATTTTATATTAAAAACATGGATTCTCGCTACCCCATCGTGTTAGAGGATTTTTTTCTAAATTAATAAACAGGATTTATCCACTTTTTCCGTTACCAGATCCAGACAAAAAGGTTTTTTTTCTACTGGTCCGGACGGCCGAGATCGTTAAGGCAGTAGTGGCCGTAGGGATGTCGACCGAAGGATTCGCATCCCGCCTCGGCTTAGTTGTATGTGTGTTCATCCTTCCAATCTCTATCATCACCATATCATGTCATCTTCATAGTTTCCATACCCGCTAAATGCAATAGTAATCGCTATTGACCTAATATATTCACGCAGCCTTAAATAACAAAAACGTTTGTTTTTTTCTGGCGAAAATTCTGCGTTTTCTGGCGCACAATTACATAAATTTCTCTTCTTACGAAGAATTCGTAATGCGATAAACCCAAAACATTTTCCATGCGCTTTTTAATCTCATTTAGAAGGGGGCAATGACGCGTCGGCGACATCCTTAGCGCGCGCCAGAACCCTTCTGTCACGCGCCATGATCTCGGCGCACGGCGCCCCACTTCGAGAGTCGTCGTGTCGGGACTTCGTGTCGGGACTTCGCGTCGAACTTTCGCGTCGGGACTTCGCGTCGGGCATTCGCGTCGGGCATTCGCGTCGGCATTCGCGTCGGGCTTCGCGTCGGGCATTCGCGTCGGGCATTCGCGTCGGGCAATCGCGTCGGGACTTCGTGTCGGGACTTCGAGTCGGGACTTCGCGTCGGGACTTCGCGTCGGGACTTCGCGTCGGACTTCGCGTCGGGACTTCGCGTCGGGACTTCGAGTCGGGACTTCGAGTCGGACTTCGAGTCGGGACGTCGTGTCGGGACGTCGTGTCGGACGTCGTGTGGGACGTCGTGTCGGGACGTCGTGTCGGGACGTCGTGTCGGGACGTCGTGTCGGGCGTTCGTGTCGGGCCTTCGTGTCGGACTTCGTGTCGGGACTTCGTGTCGGGAACTTCGTGTCGGGCTTCGAGTCGGGACTTCGAGTCGGGACTTCGAGTCGGGACGTCGTGTCGGGACGTCGTGTCGGGACGTCGTGTCGGACGTCGTGTCGGGACGTCGTGTCGGGACTTCGAGTCGGGACTTCGAGTCGGGACTTCGTGGTCGGGACTTCGTGTCGGGACTTCGTGTCGGGACTTTCGTTGTCGGACTTTCGAGGTCGGGACTTCGAGTCCGGGACTTTGAGTTCGGGACTTCGTGTCGGGACTCGAGTCGGGACTTCGCGTCGGGACTTCGCGTCGCGGACTTCGCGTCGGATTCGTCGTCGCGTCGGGACTTCGCGTCGGGACTTCGCGTCGGGACTTCCGCGTCGGGACGTCGCGTCGGGACTTGCGTCGGGACTTGCGCGTCGGGACTTCGCGTCGGCGACTTCGCGTCGGGTACTTCGCGTCGGGACTTCGCGATGGGACTTCGCGTCGGGACTTCGCGTCGGGACTTCTCGCGTCGGGACTTCGCGTCGGGACTTCGCGTCGGGACTTCGCGTCGGGACTTCGCGTCGGGACTTCGTGTCGGGACTTCGTGTCGGGACTTCGTGTCGGGACTTCGAGTCGGGACTTCGAGTCGGGAGTTCGAGTCGGGACTTCGTGTCGGGACATCGTGTCGGGACATCGTGTCGGGACGTCATGTCAGAACATACTTGGCTGATCATACGCAGACGTGGCTCGTCATCTGAACACGCGATAAGTCGCTCTACTAGACAGGTTACACTGAAAAGATTCCAACATAGTGTATTACTGTTATCAAGTAGTTGGAAAGCACACTGCATTCCTTCAAATATGAGCAGCTCACCCCTAGGATTCTCGATGCCAGACGCGGATGGCCGGTAAGATACACATTTGGGCGCTCATTCAATAAGTTTAGCGCGTGCGACCGGCAGTATACTACTTACAGGTGCACTCCGTGTGTGTGTACCCCTCTTCTGGCTCCAGGTCATTACAAAATATACAATTTTTGATACATTATACAGTTTCATTAAATAAACTTTCATACCAAAACATAAGTCATATAAAAACAACTCACCATTCAGTAGCTTGATCAACATCTCCAACAAGCTCATACAAATGTGCCAACTGGAAAAGTACTTCAGGATGATGTTTAACAATGCTTTGGAGTTTGTGAAAGCATTCTAAAGCTTCGTCATACAATCCTTTTTGTTTATTTACTAAACCTTAAAAAGATTTTCCAATAATTTAAATAGTTTTAAAACATCTAAACATCATTCTGATTAATTGACAAGCTAGACAATTATTCCTTTTAATCAAAGTATTGACTAATTTCACTATATAGCCACTTTCAGTTTAACTAATGTGATGAATTAATTAATTTTTCACTATCTACTAATTGGAATCAAATATTATTTGCAAGATATTTTATATCTATAAGGTGAATGATATTATCATTTACCTAAATTGTAGAGCGCTTCCACACAAGATGCATCATTCTCCAAAGCGCATATGAATAATTCTTTTGCTTTCTCCAGATCTCCTTTGACCATGCAACAATTTCCAAGATTCACAAATGCTGCAGAATTATAGGCATCTGCTTCTCTTGCTTGTTCAGCATATTTTTCAGCCTTTTCTATTTCACCTTGCTAAACAATAATGATAAGTTATTTTTGAAAGAGACATTTAAACATTAATTATAATAACTTTACTCTCAAATCAATGAATTCCGGTGAATGAGCAAAAATAATTTTGTTTCATTCTTTGGGAATATAATAATTATTTTATATTTTATTTCATTTATCATAGTTTTCCAAATTATATTGCAGTGCTAAGTTGATTACGTGAAAAAATTATCTCTCAATAAAAATTTTTGAATATAACAGAACAGAAGAAAATAATATAAAACTTAGGATTAAAAAAAAAAGGACGTTGAACACCTACCAAAAAGTAAATGAAAGCCAAATTTGTGGCTGCAGTACTGGCAACCTTAGTTTCCTTCTTTTCAAAAGATTTTAATGTGTCAATGGCATGAGAGATATCTTTTTGTTTCAAATACATTACAGCCTTATTAATTTCTAAATCATTAGCTAATGATGCATACACTGAAGCTTTTATTGCATCAACACACCAATCATATCCTGGAAAAATAGAAAAATAGTTATACTTCCTGAATAAAATCCACTTTCAAAACAAAATCTACTTTGACTAGAGGTCTAAATATTACAACCATGACTTATTGCACATCTAAAACCCTTCAAAGAAGATCTAAAAGAAAACAAAACCTATCCAAAAAATAAAAAAATATTAAACAATTCAGATACATTAATTAGTTGGATTTTATAACACCTATTTTTTTACAAAAACTATCATCTGTAATTTATAAAGATATAATATATACGTCGACAAAGTAACTATGTAAATGATACTGGTTCATCATCTTTCCAAAGGCTGCAACAAACAGTTTCATTCTATGTTAAATTGTTAAAGTGCTTCTAGTACAATTACTATATCTTAAAACATTTGGGTAGAGTACCAAGCTTTCTGAAACCAGACTACTCAATATCCTACTGACTAAACGCTATCTCTAACAATGTAACAATTAATTGTAATAATTCAGAATACACAATTTCTCCCAATTGGTATTAAAAACCTTTGATAATTTCAGGAATTTCTGATCTCTTCGGAAAATTTAAAATACAATCAATTCATAATGTTGAAGATAGTTTTAATTCAATTGTGAAGATTTTTGAGATATTCTGTTAATGACAGAAGCAGAAAAAATTATGAATGTTTCTAAGAAAGTTGGTCAATAAAGCTTGCAACTGACTGTACTAATCTTCTTATGTCTGAGGAATAAATTGAAAACATACTATTATTATTATTATTTTAATTATTGTTGAACACTACTAATTCACCATTGAAAGTACAGTCCAACAATAACAGAAAAATTGAGAGTGAGAGATAGAAACCATACTTTCTTGAAAATATTCATAAAAGTCCACAGAGATACCAAACACAACTGAGATAAGGATGAAGAAAATTACCTGAACTGAATGAATCTTCTATTACTGGTGATATTAGCTTTGCTGCAGTCAGAATACTTCTTTCGGCTTCTTCTCTCATTTGTCGTTCAATTTTGCAAAGGGAGTCATTTTTAATGACTTCCAAAAGTAAATTAGATCTAGGATCATCCTATAGGAGTAATAATAATAATAATAATAATAATAATAATAATAATAATAATAATAATAATAAACAATTAATTCTTTGTTCTACAAATGAAATTACATTTAGTTAAGTTATTTTCCCAATTCTGCCATTTTGCAAGGCCTCCATTTTACTTTTTCGCTTGTGGTTGGGCATAAATAATTACTTCGATATTGCAGCAATATCTTGAATACTGAACGACATTAAAATGACATGTATATTCCTAAAATAAAATATTTTTTGATTATCTAGGGGTTGTGCAACCGTGCACCCTAAGCCCGGTGTCAATGCCGCTCTGACAACAGAAGGCGGTAGTGACGGCCGCCGCTAGTTCGCGTTATTATAAACTAATAATTTTATTTACGGCTAAAATTTGCTTCGGACATCGTTTGTACATTTATGTAAAATGAGAGTACACTGAATCCGCCTCTGAACATGATCAAAGTTTATATGATGAAATTCAGCAAACGTTTTATGACAAAGCGTGAAAACATTTAACAGGCAAGGAAAGAACAAAGTGAACTATTAGTCAGGTTATCTCTGTATTAGAAAGCTATGTAATTGCACAACAACACTGTTTTATTAGCTCAGTTGTAAGCATAGGCCTGCTCAGCATTCTGCACTTTGGCTGACCTCAGGAGATGTCCGTAAAGTTAGCATACCCATTTCAAAATTTTCAAATTTGGGTATAAATTAATCTTTAATTCGGGCTAACGTCTGGTACATTTAGTTCTTATGTATCATGCATTTTTCTTATGTAGGTATGCTAATTTGACGTTAAGTGAGCGTACCCACCTTTAGTGTTGAATATTTCAATGTTGCACAAATTTTCAAAATTTTCGAATTTGGGTATAAATTAGTCTTTAATTAGAACAAAATTATGGGATACAATTTTTCAATATTGTGATAAATGGGTATGCTAACTTTCCGGACATCCTCGGGAGCCGCACGCACGCAACTTGAGTGCAGACCCGGGCCGCATGGATGGGGAAGACTCATTCTAGAAGTGGAGACCGACAAAGAGAATACGCAATTCGAACCGTAAAGCAAAAAAGCAAATATCAAATTACGTTTTATTTTGGAAATGTTTGTTGCTGATATAGGACAATCTGAAAACGACTTAAAACGAATTAGACACACATATTTAATTTGGATACCAGTATTATATAATTGTAGGGCTGATAGGGCTGATATGCTTGTAGGGCTGATAATGTAATTTGTTTTGCTACAATGTAATCACAAATTTAGCCTGCTGTTAATACAAAATTATATTGAATCTTTTTTTTTTTCTGTTGACAGAACTAAATTATTTTTTCATGTACTATTTCTAATCTAATTTCATTATTTATTTTTAACCATTCTATCAAAGCAAAAAATGTTTTTAAAAAATCATAATTACTTTCTGTTCTAATTTCCGGCAAGAGTACACTATATATTTCTTATTTCATATCAACGAACACTATTTATTCATAAATGTTTATGACATTGTATAAAAAAGATTAAGCCCTTCATGTTCTATTTAACAGACTCATAATAATGTCATGATGGTCATAATGTCATATCGTAAGAGAGGTTTCCTCATTTGTATCTCTTATTCAGCTTCATAACAAGGGAAAATATCACATATATGTGCTGCCAATCATTATCCTTCTTGGAACTGCCTATATTTCATTTTTATATCAATCTCTATGTGAGAGACAGTTCTCTGAATTTTCTCCATTTTGCTATCATTAGGAGATTACAACATTCCCAGTGAAAAATCATATTGAATTCTAGATTTTAGTTTGTTAAAATTACATAATAAATTTTAAAAGAGGCCACTGCTTTAAAATATTATTTACGAATTACAATGAGCTGAAAGTAAAAACGATAAAGAAAATGTCGATACATAGCAGTGCACAGAACATAAATAGGGAAATATTGCCCTTGTAGCTAGAAATACTATAGACTGCATTTAAATAAGTGGGCAAATCATTTCACAGTATGGATCATTGAATTTAGACACCCCGACGTAAAATCTACATGCCGCTGTCGTGACGCCGCCACTCCGGTTTCTACCCTCCCCTCAAAGCTGCCTAAACCCCCGCTACTCTTGTTTTTGTAATTTTTAAACATTGCACATATTCCTCGCAATATTGCCCGAAAACTACCTTTTTGGAAACCCCCCATTTTTTGTTTCATTGGCCCCCAAAACGTGTATTTCCGTCAAATCTCAAAATCGATTTTTCTTTCCCCATACAACGCAGAAAATACTACGTACATATACTATAGTCTGTACGTATGTATGTATGTATGTGTGTGTGTCTATATATATATATATATATAGACACACACACACATATATATATAATAGATAGACAGATATGTGTATATCGAAAGTAAAAGTGTATCATAACTTTAATCAGATAAAGTTATTTATTTTTCTTACATTATTTGTATTATATTTGTCCTCTTCATCAACATTCAAAGGAACTTCAAGCAGCATTTGGAAACTTCTTTTCATCTTTTCCTTATCTCCCAAAGCGTAATGACAAAGAATAAGATGAAGGCCTAAAAGAAAATGAAATAAATAATATTCATAACCAATGATAACTTGTAAATACAACATTTGATAATCTATTTGATAGAAATTTCAAAATTTGTTGTCCCCTCCACACACCCATTCAAACACATACCTCTTACCTGTGGTAAATTCAGGTTTCTCTTGCATAATATATTCAAAACTAGAACAGGCATCATTGAACTGTCCCATTTTAACAAAAAGTATACCAATATTGTGCATGATTTTAATTCTGGAAAAAAAAACAAAAAGAAAGAAAGCAAAAAATGACGGATGTTTGCAACTCCTTAATAATTCAAAAATATAATTGAAATAAATATAATTTTTGTGAAAAACTTTTTTAAAAAAGGTTATTTTCTTGTTCCTAGCATAAAATGTTTATCTTGCAAATAGAGTTCTTTATTAAAGGATCTACATTACATCAACATTTTTTTCTGTGAAACTGAAGGCTTTAATTCTCTGATTCTACTGTAACCATCATTCAATACAATATACAGTTAGTTGTAAAATAAACAATTTATACCCACACTAAGTACTCTATATAGAATTTTTATATACTTTCTATGAAGTTTTTTCTTTTATTACTTTTTTTAAGAAGAAAAGAAAGCAAATCAAACCAAATGTGCCAAAATTGAAATGAATATGTAGACTACTGTATTACAGAAATATAAATATGCAACAAGACTAAGCAATTAAAAAACAATCATGACATGCATTTAACAAACCTAAGTTCTCTATGTGTATTAGGTACTTGGTCCAGTGCCATTCGATACATTTTCACAGCCTTTGGGTATTGACCTAGTTTGAAGTAGATATTCCCCATATTGATTTTCAATCTGTTAGCATTATTAAACATCCGATTTTTTGTTATTACTTGATATGTGTTTAATGCTTCAGAATACATTTCATTTACTGCATACTGATTTGCTAAGTTGAAAAGTACCTACAAATTACATCATGGAAATTATTTTATGGACAGATGTATATGATGTACAAAGTTCCATCAGTAACATTATAGAAAGAAATTACAAAATGTATAAAATATTATTAATGATATTAATAATAAATTATGAACAATACAGTAAAGTAGTATGGTACAGTAACAAAACTATACAGTAAAGCTTTACAATTCATTGATTAATTCAATTGACATTTGAGAGACTTTTTACTAACATAGTGCACCAATTCCATTTGTTTAAAAACTGGAGACCGTCTATCTGTGAGTACCTGCAAACTATATACTGTTCACTGACAAAGCAAACAAAAACCATAAATCATTTTGAAATCAGTTGGTGGCAGTTATAAGATTAACAGTTGGAGAATGTCATTCTTTTCCCCACAACATTAGTGTACTAAGTCTGTGTCTCATCACTTTGCAGTTGCAGTAAAAATGAGTTACACTTCTATGAGATCTGGTGAAGAATGCATTTCTCATCTTTCTCCTGAATGTTCATATGATCATGACTTAACAAATCTAATGGGATGTCTCTACAAAAGTCTTCTTCCATCCTCTTGAATATTTGTCACACTTACTGAAAACGTGAGATCCAAATTGTGTGTTTCGCTCAAGCCTGCTTGCTCCTGCATTCGAATCAAACTTCTCTCTTTACTTGAAGCCTCTTTTGCCTTGTCAAGAGCACTTCTGTGATCTCCATGGCTATTTGCAACACAAGCTTCTTCAATTAACTCCATTATCCGGCGCTCTAGTTTCTTTATTTTTTCTTCTGGCCTGAAAAATGTTTTTTTCTGTTTATTTTATCACCAAAAAACTAGAAGCTAAAAGAGAGAGAAAAGTAAATAAGTTCAATACAAAGAAAGGAGCAAAATTGTGAATGTAATTCAAAACAAATTAAAAAGGCAAAAATGATAAATGTTCGTTCCTACTGGAATTATTATAAGAAGATAATGGTCTATGTAAATGGATGAAACTTTAACTACCAAATGAATTTCGAAAGTAATAATAAGTGTTGTTAATAGAAGATTTGTTTCAGAGATAGTCATAAGCCACAAAATCACTTCTCTACAGGAGAGCCTTTTGAAACTGTGTATCAAACATATTTCTAACATTCACAATGATGCAAAGAAGAACATTGGCTTATATCTTCATTTGTCGCTGGATATCAGTTAACATCAAGAGTTCTGAGAAATCTGCTGGAAATCTACTCTACTAATAAGAAAAGTGAAAACCGCCAAAAGTATGGCTTATGACTATCTCCGACGCAACCCTTCAATTAATTACAAAACTAGCAAAATGTTGACCTACAATAATGAATTTAGATACAGCATACTTTAAAGGAAATATTAAGACATAAACATATTAATAAGATATATTAAAATATAATACATTTGTTAAATTATTGTAAAGGGCATTAATACATTCTACAATTGGAGCTGATAATTATAGGCAAATGATTCACCCACAAAAAAAATATTGTCAGATAACATTATTTCAAATATTGTCTATTTTTGCACTTTATAAACATCTATTACAATGCATTACATCAAAGCCACCACTATTATTTTTTGTCAAAATATCAAATAGCTATTGTTATTCAAATAATGAAACTACAGACTAAATATTCAAACAGTATAATACACATTTTTCTTATTACATTAGAAAATAAATTAAACTAAGGGACCCATATAGTAATAAATAAATAATTTAAAAAATGTTTCTATTTTAATTTATTATAAGTATATCTTCACTAGCAAAGCTCCATAAAACCATAAAAATCATATTAGTAATTTATTCTTACAATTCTTCCTTCTTTGACTCCAACTGAGTGGGTAATTTAGATGCTTGATTTAAAGGATCAAATACTGTGGTTGGGCGTTGACTTGTGTACCCTGCACCACGAACTGCGGTCATAGGTCTATTCAGTCCATCCTGTGTACCTGTTACTGGACGAAAAGCTGTACCAGTTCCATCATGAATCTAGAGAAGAAAATAGGTCATATGTTTATAAAAAAAAAATTACTTATATTATCAAAACATGAAATAGACAAATACCAAATACATTTATTTTCAGTAATCTGTGGCTTTCTGCCTATTTGCCTATTTATTTACTTTGATGGAAAATGCAATATTTTTGGTTACTTATTCATCTTGAGGCATTAGGAGTATTATAAACCAATTGTGTAGGGTCTATAAATGGCTATTTCACTAATAAATGCCTATTTTATGTTTCAATACCTAAATGTTGCCTTTTCTTGCATTTAGTGATCAAAAAGTAATTATCCTTAATAAAATATTTTAAAATTTTTTTCTTTTTTGTTTTTATCCTGCAGAGTACAAAGAAATGAAACAACTATCAATAAACCTATTCCGTTTTACTATCACCACAGGGCAGATATTTTGTGTTATAAAACACGTACAAAATCGCTTGTGTAGTCAAATTATTTTTACTTTGAAATTTTAAATATTTTTTACTCAAAAAGACATCAGGTTTTTTTTTCTTAAAACTTTCTCCTTGTATGTATTAAAGGGTGATATGAAAATTGGTGCTAGTTCCATTCTTCGCAAACATTGTTTTCAAAAATTGCAAAAAGTTAACATTGCAAAAGTGCAATATTGAATTCAGGAGATTTTGTTTTATTTGAAATCTGTTCTCAAAAATCAGATCTTTAAAAGTGATAACATATTTAGGAAAAAAGAAAACAAAAAACAATTGGTGTTTTAGAGAATTTCTATTAGAAATTAAAGCAAATCATAAATAAAATTCTCAAACCCCATTACAAATTTTTGCTTAATTTTGACACTTAAAAGAATGATGCAGGTCTCATTTTCATTGAACTCTGTGAATTTATGAAAATTGCATATTTTGAAACATTTGTAAGATATAAAGCAAGAAAGTATGTGCTCTTGTAAGAGCATAATTATGGTTAAAATTAATATTTAACATAATAATATAAATAACTGTTAATTCAACAGGATGAGTTTTCCAAACTTAAGTTTGTATATACTATTTTTTCTCAATTATGTCTTGTGTTTTTAAGACTCACATTAGAAAACTCCCTCTCTCCCCTCTGTATAATAATATACACGCCACATCCAGAAAGTACGTTGCCCTAAGTCATCAACAAAAAGAAAACGTAATTTCAGGGGAAACAGTTTTAATTTCTTTTAAAAATTAGCCTTTTTTAAAGGTTGTATAAACTGCTGGGGCATTAAAATGAGCAGTTACAGAAAAAAAACAAAGTTTTCACAGCATAACACTACCTGAAACCTGCACACATTGATTTCCAGATCCCATTGCAGACATTCTGTATGATTAATTGAATTATCTTGTAAGAAAGTAGTTTTGAGGTAATACGCTTTTCGTTTTTCTCCTGTTAGTTGACTGATGATTACTTTTATAAATTCTTTCACACTAACAGATTCTTATTAGTAGTTTCTAAGTTTGCTTTCTTTTACTTTTTTTCTTTCCTCCTGGCATTATCTGAGGGGCATTGAGTTTCTGGAGAAAGTTGAGATGTCTTTGTGATTTTCTATTATTCTATTTATTTTTTATTGATTCCTCGTTAAAAAGCATTCCTCCTTTATTTGTAATTAACAAGAGCAGTACTAGCACTTATGTTACTTAACTTGTAACAATTTTTTCATAAGATTAAGAAGAGGGTGTTGAAACATTAAAACGACAGCAAATAATCATTCATTTTATGATTTTATTAAAATTGTATACTATACATTTGTAAAATAATAGTACATGATAACACATCTGAGTCTCATTACATTTCGTTTAAAGCAAAGAATAATGAAATTTGCGTACACTACAGTGTCTCTGACCGGGAGGTGCTAGGTTCGAGTCTCGATGGTGGCAGGATTTCTGTCATCACATTGTCAGCTATGTCGAATTCAGTCGCTGTCTAGGGGGAAATCCAAGTGTCCGGCTGTTCTGATCGGTAGTTTTCCGCGATTTCTCCGGTCAACACCAGGCAAACGTCGGAGCAGTACCGTAACAAACAAGCCACGGTATGCAATATTTCCTTCCTCTTCCTTGATCTATCCTCACCTGCTACTACACACACTTACACTAACAACCACTACACTACCACACATGCCGAGATAACCGTCAGGACCAATGACTTTCGCTTTCAAAACAAAAACCCAAAGACAGGATTTCGAATCTATTTTTGGGGGGAGAAAAAGTTTGGAGAGTATTAAAAGTGTTTTTATTAAATTTAAAATTTAAAAAAAATTATAAAAAATAGTTTAAATTCTCTTTGTTTAAAAAATATGAATTTTAATAAAAAAACTTTTTAAAAAGAATTTTACGAAAACCAGTATACAGTATGCCTGTATTAAAAAATTTACTATTTAATAATCTCTATTGCCTACATGGTGTATTTGATGCATAACTTATAAATAAAATATATAGTAGCTGCTTGGATTTTGTTTTATATTTTGAAATGTGAATACCATTTAACTTTTGTATAATAAATCCATCTGTCCGTCCATTTTGGTTGTTGTTACCCATTGTTGTAATGCCGCACAGATAACAGAAGGTGATAATAATAGTTGCTTTTTGTTCGTAGTAATAAAAATATTTTTATATATTTGTAGAATATTACAATATCATATTATTTACTTTATTTACATATATTTGTACTTTTTCGGATTCTGCTTATTTTTTGCACCAAATGTTCTATGTTTTACAAAAACTAATACAGAGACAAAATTGTGATATGCATAGTATTATTTGTTAAATATCATTCACATTTTTCCCAAAGCTTCCAGTTACTCCAAGAGATGTATTTGACAATTAAATTACTCAGTCATTACTTCTAAGTGAATAACGTCTTCCAGACCATAAATGTCACCGTCCACCTGACCATATATCACACATGTGTTTGGTAAGACATTCATGCCAATTCTGGTTATTGATTTTTTAAATTTTAGGGTGTCTTGTCTGCTATTATGGTATCCGTCATTATTATACAGGTAAGCTGTGCATTCGATCATCAAAAGTCTTTGATTATCTTGACTCGTTACACTTGCTTAACCCGGATCTGATTCTCGTTTTTCATTTTACCCTAAACGTCACTTAGTTATTGTAAAAAAAATGAACAGTTCTAAAAAGTATTATGATTTTGATATAGTTTCTGAATCACAGAGACATGCTGCAAGACTGCTTTTGATTAAGATTTTGATTTGATTTTCCTGAAAATTAAGCTGTGGATTAATTGGCATGAACAACTATAGAAATAGGCAGGCAAAATAGGCATTTCAAAATATGTAATGGGCATTTAAAGATTTAAAATAGGCATTTAAAAGGGCATTGTACATTTTTCTTATCCTTGTTTATGTACTAGTGCAGAAAGTTTCTAAAGAAAACATAATATAGTTTCCTCCGCTGAGAGATTTCATATTTGTACCAACAAATCCTCCTAGAAATTCTTTCTTTGATTGCTGGACAATTCGAACAAAAAGGCTGAATCGCAGTAGCTACATTTTGCGTTTAATGAAACGCAAGCTGATACTTAAATGATATACAGCATGATCTCTTTTCTCACATTTAATTTAAACATAATTTAAAATAATGTGAGATTTATTTTAATCACCATGCATAACAAAAAAGTTGTAGCTATCATAAATATGGCCCCCAAAATACAATGCTCTTGGCTAAGTTTGTCTAATTAATTTTCATACATTTCTTGTGCTTTCAAAGCAACTACTAAAGTCAAACATCGCGCCATCAGTGAATTTTGGATGAAATTTATTACTTACATTTGAGGTACCAAGTCGCATGGCAGTTCCTGGTTTGGAGGGTAGCTTCAGGTACAGGAAAAAGTAAAACGAAAAATGTAATTGAGAAGGATTATTTTTTAATATTTTCAGAACATAAAAATTTAAAGAATAGTTTTGAACTCACAACAGGGCGCTTGCCATAGCTTGTTCGAACAGCTTCTTGAAAAACTTCATCTTGTTCTAAATCTTTAGTACTAAATGCTGATGGATATTCATTATAACCAGAGTACAAATCCTCGTCACTGTCTGACGGGGCTAAACGTACATTTTCCATTGCTAGAATTAATGATCTTTAGAAAACTGCCAGCAACCAAGATATTAAATAAATACCTTGGAATGCTGTCAAATGCAATTCGATTTGTTTGCCCTTGCTAGTTGCTATGGAAACCATACAAGCTGCCAACATTACATTGCCTCTAAAGGCACATGACGTACGGTCAAAAAGGCACTTACATCATGGATGCGACTCCAGTGCATGGAGATATAACTAGCCGTTGAACTACAGCCATCGACTCCGATGGCAGCGCTGACGGCAAGCTGTTGAACTACATATAAGCGGCACGGCGCGACGTTTGGTTCTCGCCATGAAGTTCACGTACCATTTACCCTGTCACCCAGGGCGCAATTTGATTTTGAAGGTTAAACTCGAGAATAAATTAATAACCGATATTTACACGATGTATAGAACTGCATTTCTTAAGAGTGTAAGGGCCTGACCAAGCCCTATTCTCAATAAACAGTTTGAAAACAGAAATACAGAATAATGTTGATGCAGTAATTTTTATACTTTTATACGCTTATTATTCTTCATTGTTTATTGTATATGTTAGGTATATACTTACATTTTAGAGTGGAGAAATTAAAGCAATATAATAGATATATCTCTCAAAATATTTTGTCATATTATCTTAGCATTTTTTTAAATAATATTGCATTGATGTCTTTCTTAGAACTTTAATTTACATCTAGTAATAAAGTACCTATGAATTTGAACAAAACTTTGCAATTCCTTCCCTGAAAACAATCCAAATCTACAATAATTTCTTGCATTTAAAATTGAGAACTGGAATTCTCAAAAATTTTTATTCTAAAATATTACTGTTTAGTTAGAAACAATATTTGTAATTACTAAGTATGTTCTTTGAATTTTATACGAGGAAATTTGTGAAACTTAACTACTCTTATTTGGCTACTTATCATATTAGACATATGTAAATAATATTGAGCTAAACTACATTTGCATAAATATTTAAGTATGAAGTTAGGAAAAGTGACAAACCCACATAATAATTTCCTCTGAAAAGTGTTATGGCATTACAAACACATTTTTCATACAATAATAAAAAAATAATACAAATAAGAACTAAAACAGGCATTAAACGTGAACAGTATGAAACATGAACAATTTTGACTACAATTTCTGGGAGTGTTCAATATGTGTAGAATGTATTTGCTTTTTCAGGAAGTTAGTCCCACATTGCCAGCAGATGTTTTTTTCAGTAGTGATATTGTTCTGGCTTTTTGCAACTGACATTTCAGCTTTCTGTGTATCCCTCGTCTTTCTTTTCTTCAAAATAAAAAAATATTTTCAATGTTCCATAAAACCAAAAGTGGTTTTCATAAAAACTTTTCCAGAATTCATCACAACTACTTGGAAACAGGAGGCCTTTGTAATAATCATTTTGTTTATTGAAATGAAAGTGTCTGCAAAAGATTGAAAGTCCAAAAAGTGGTTTGTATACAAGTGGACAACTTCAAACTTATTTTTGTTTTTTGCTGGTACTAAGAAACATGACAGTTGATTTGTTTCAAGATGCCATGATACCTGGGCTTAATATCCGAATCTTTAATCAATGTAAGTTTGAACTCGAAGAGGATAGACAGGAACATACCGCTTTTGAGAGAAAATTGACCTTAGCTTGAAGTCCCTTTCTGAATAAAAATCTCATTTTTGTACATAGTGGCACTTAACATCTTTAAGAATTCTAGTTCTCAATTACTGTTTAAACTTCCATGAAGTTTAACTTTAATCTTTCATTTTTGGGAACTGTTTAATATTAATATTGATACTATACTAAAAATTAGGTAATGTATTTTTAAACATTATATTCTCATCAATTAAGTAAATATTTAATATTTTGTATACTGTCATAATTCTATTACCTTGTTCTAAAAGAACAAATCATGAATACACATGGATGTAAGATCTCCATCTTGATTGTAGTTTTTCTAGATTCCCTGTTATCCTTGAGCTCGTGTTGAGATGGTGCTTTATATGCTAAGGACATTACCCAGAAAAACAGTTAAGGCGGATGCAAAAATAATTCAGTTATGAAAGTCAATTATCAGATCACCCAAAAGAAAAATCCATGTTAAAGTGAAAATTATTAACAGAGAAAGTATGCGTTTAGTGAAATACAAAGACCTCCAGGTTTTCCATAAGACAAAGTTAACCTGATTTTCCCAACTCAATTTGCTATCAAAAAGTATTCCCAGGTACTTACAATACAAGACACTGGGAATATTTACATTGCCTAAACGATATTGAGTTTCACTATTTTCGCGACCCCTAAAAAAAAAGTGATGGTTTTGCTTTTCAAACTATTTATTATCAGGCTATTTTTTTCTGCCCAGAAATGTAATCTATCTAGATCACCCTGCAAAATATCTTTGTGTACTTTTGATTGAATAACTCGATATATTATACAGTAATCTGTAAATAGTCTTACCTTTGCAAATAAATTATCTGGCAGGTCATTCACAAACGCAAGAAACAGGAGAGGTCTAATAACGCTTCCTTATGGAATAACTGAAGCTACCTTACACCAAGACAATTCTGGTGTCAAAACCCAAATTTTTTATGAACTAATTTATTGTGTGGAACAACATCAAATGCCTTTGCAAAATCTATTATTATGGCATTCACCTTCCTACTATCATCAACTTCATTTGCTGTGTCCTGAAACAATGATACTATCTGACTCTTGCAAGAGAAAGTATTCCTAAAGCTATATTGATAAAGAATGTTGTTGAAGAATGTAGTACACATGTAACATTTGTTGTGCTGTTGGGATTCTATTAGCTTATTTTAAAACAACGAATTGTAAATAAATTTGGACATGGGATCCCTAACCTGATTGTAGTAATGTACCTCATTTCAAAATTTATCTTTAATAAACAGATTTCATTAAGAGGATAAAACCTCCATCTTCATAATTGTAGTTGTAGGAAGACGACGAAAAAAATTTTAATTTTTTTAACGAAAATGAGATCTGCGTCATCATCTTAAACGTTCTTCACACTATCCAACCACAAAATTTAATCAAAAACGATTGAGCCATTTTTTAAATACTTCAGGGGCTTTATGTAAACTCCCCCACAAAATTAAAATAATGGTTTCAAAATCAAGGGGCCATAACATCAGCCAGATCGATTGAGGAATTTCAATTTTGGAGAAAATCGCCTGAATGGTTTAGCCGCTAGCGTTGTTCACAGACGGACGGACATACGTTTTGCCTCCAATCGATTTTTCGGTTTCAAGGATACACAAAAAATAGATTCTGGCTACACCACGTTGTAGTGTTAGTGTTTTGTTTCGTTTTTCTACATTTAGAGACGACGATGCCGCCCTTCGAACTACTAAGTCACGTGTTCTGGACATCTCTTTTAAGGCATTTAAACTTCGAGTTATTCAGTGTTCAACCCAAAAAGGGCATGGAATTAGTTATAACTTAATTTTAGTTAGTATATTTCAGATATGCCCGCCCAAGCTGCAGAAGCCTTATCGGCTGCAACTGTTGTAAGCCGAAGGAAAAATAAAATTCCCGCCTCGCCAGGGTAACTGGAGAGGGGAAACGGAAGAAAAAAAATTCAGTGTCCTTTGACTTCTCATCAGCATCCTATCGGGAGCGTGAAAGTCACTTCTGTAGGTGTCATCCAGGCTCCTGATTGATTAGACGACACCGTAGCAGCTGCTTTACAACAACACCCTATGTTTCAATCTAAGTATAGAGCCCGTAGAGCCCTTTCACGTGTTCAATCACACGTATTCAGGCAACCTCATCTTCCGCATTTTCTAGCTACGTGTAAATCTGGAAATACTTCCTAAAATTATGCTTTTTTCCCATTTCGTTATACCATAAGACCATTAAGATGCAGTCTACGTCGTATATCTTAACACCCCGGTGTGAGAAATATATCTTACATCATGCTGAAAACCATCATCGTCGACCATCGACGTATACCCCTCTGCCGCTGTGAATTCAGTGAACGAAGTATGTCCCCCGCCAATTCAAATTTTAGGGAAAGGACCTACACTTTTTTTAACTGCATACTGTTTCTTAATATTAGTATTAAGTGAAAATATCAAACACACCCATTTCAATGTCCTCAGTCAAACTCCCCAGAGTGCAATAGCCCAAACTATATGAAGTATTGCGTTTGCCTCGTCGCCCGGCCTTCCTGCTCGCAGGAACTGTAGCAGGAAGCAGTAACACATTGAGTGCAAGTCACTACTTGTATGTTAAAAAAAACACGCATCTGTCTTACTTTATGAATAAACCTACAGTTCTCGCCGATTGAAATCGTGTGTTTAACTTTCATTTCTACGATTGTGCTAATTGCTATTCTGTGTTCCCTTGTTTTTGTACCGTATTAACCTACGAAGAGCAAGATAACGGTGCTTTTGTGTGGCACTCTACATTCGAGCCTGGTATCGTGAGGTCACTGCCCCGTCCACTGGAATTTGTTTCTGTGGCGGAACGATTTACATTCATATGAATTACGAACTAATCAAACTCCAGCAATAGTTTTGGCGCAGGAAATAAGAATTGTAGAGGACCTAAGTTCTTATGATTTGAATTTACCCTACATTTCAGTATGTTGTTGAGAATATACTCTCTCCTGGTTTTACTGTATGATGTTATTTATCTCTTACTGGGATGTGCCTGGGCTGTTATTGAATCTCTTTACCAGTTTATAAGTCCACCAAAGGAAAAATCAGTTGTAGGTGAACGAGTCTTGGTAAGTGGTAACATTATTTTGACCCAATTTAAAAAAAATATTTACAGTGAGCTAATAGCATTCTGTTTCAGATTGTGGGTGCTGGCCGAGGTATTGGCAGAGAACTGACACTTCAATTTGCAGCATTAGGTGCAGATGTTGTTTGTTGGGATATTAATTCTGAGGCAAATGAAGCAACAAAACAACATGCATTGGAGCAAGGAAAAGGTCAGGCATATGCATACACATGTAATGTTGCAGAGAGAGATCAGGTGACTAACTGTGGTGTATAGTATTGTTAAAATACAAGTTAAGGTTGCGAATATAATAAACTTTTATGTATTACATTTTATTCAGGTCATAAGTATTGCAGAAAAAGTCCGCAAAGATGTGGGTGATATTACTGTTCTTATTCATTGCTGTGGAGTACCAAGCCCTAGATCACTTGTTGCTCAACCAGCACCAGCTGTTCGGCAAACTATGGATGTTAGCATCTTGTCTCACTTTTGGGTGAGTGTTTACAACACAAATTAATTTGAAAATGATTAATGTTAATTTTTTAATTGCTTTATCCCCTTTAACTTTTTTGTTAAATGTAGATTCTAGAAGCATTTCTTCCTCAAATGCGGAAAAATAATAAGGGACATATTGTCGCTCTAACATCAGTTGCTGGGTTGACAGGGATAAAGGATCAAGTTCCATTATGTGCATCACAATTTGCCGTTCAAGGTCTTATTGAAGCTTTATCTGAAGAGTTACGTACTACTAAATCATCAAATAAAATTTTTTTGACTTTGGTACATATTTATCCTTTCATTGTTAGTAGTGATCTGGCTCAAGATATTAGGTTGAGGTATGTACTAATTGCCTTCATTATTGTCCAAGTTGTATTTTTAATTATAAATTAGATTCTACCTTCGATTGATTTTTTAGTTGTAAGTAAAAACAACTTGTATTGTTTCCAGAATACCAAGCTACTTTGGGGTAATTGATCCAAAGGATGCTGCTAATCAGATTATAACAGCTATGAGAAGAAATTATGCTGAAATAAGCATTCCAAGATATCTTTTGTATCTTGGCAGCATTCTAAGGTAGGTAGACTAAAATTATGAACTCCATGTGACAGTGATTTAACTATTTTTAAAATAGGTAGAAATACGAAACACTGTATTGGTAATGTACACTGTGATGAAAAGTATCCGGACACGTGGCTGAAAATAACTTACCAGTTTGTGGCGCCCTCCATTGGTTATGCTCGAATTCAATAGAGTGTTGGCCCACTCTTAGCCTTTATGATAGATTCCACTCTCACAGGCATACTTTCAAACAGGTGTTGGAAAGTTTTGTGGGGAACGGCAGCCCATTCTTCACAGAGTGCTGCACTGAGAAGAAATATTGAAGTAGGTTGGCGAGGCCTGGCATGAAGTCAGTGTTCCTTACATCCCAAAGATATACAGTAGGATTCGAATCAGGACTGTGCAGACCAGTCCATTACAGGGATGTTATTGTTTTGTAACCACTCCGCCACAGGTCGTGCAGTATGAACTGGTGCTCGATTGTGTTGAAAGATGCAATCTCCATCCCCGAATTGTTCTTCAACAGTGGGAAGCAAGAAGTGTTTAAAACATCAACGTAGACCTGTGCCATTATAGTGCCACACAAAACAACAAGGGGTGCAAGCCCCCTCCATGAAAAACACAACCACACCATAACACTATTTTCTATGTTTCCAGATACTTTTGATCGCAAAGTGTAGATTACAGTTTAATTTCAGTACAAATTATAGCTCAACAAGTTAGAAATCTTCTTTTGGACAAAGGGCATTCATTAGTAGTATGAGCATTTTAGGCATACATCCCTCACTACACCTAAAGCGAAGTTTGTTATGACCACCCTGAGAACGAATATGATGGGGGGGGGAGTAGAGAATCTGTCACTAATTTTCACTATTGCTTTATCAACATGACTTTTTGTCGTGCTCAAAGGTCTTTCCAAATGACAAAGATTTGATCTATTTCCCTACTTATATTATTATCAGTTTTTGCTTAAGTTTCTTCAATATTTTGTTTATAATATAAAAGTGAATCTTGTGTCTAAATGATCTGTCAATGAAAGTATAGGCTACATTGTTTTTCTTCTTCCAAGTTTGTTCCTCGTGGAGTGAACCCGTTGCTTCACTTGTCTGTGTAACTTCGTCACTTTAACTTAACTTTTAGTTTCATAAAATATTCATGAACTATAAACTATTTCTCACACTCTTTTTCTGATGAGTCTGCCGGTCAGAAAGCATGAAGTAGAAGCAAAACTGTCCACTAATCATATTCTTCAAAATGAAGTTCAGTATGTTCATTATTTGTTCCAAAAACAAGAGTAAAGAATTAGACGTAAACCAGAAAACAAATACAGGTTAAAGTAGGGTATGTGGTACATCCTTAGAGAAGTATGGCGGCAGAGGAGGAGGAGGAGGAGGGGAGTCTACTAAGCCCTCCCTCAAATACACTCTGATAGAAACGAATAAAACTTACGAATAGGCGATTTTCATGATTTGACCTTCGTACCCTTTGCCCTCACTGCATGTAATGCCAAATTACTTTCAACGGCAAGATTTCTTGCTTCCTCGTCCGGATCCAAGTCACAGCGAAATTCAGGCCTTTGGCACTTGCGTTCACTATAAACATCCTTGAGTCTACCCACCACATATTTACCCATTCACTTTCACAAGAAAGACTCCAAAATTCAAACTGTGCAGTTGCAAACACATTGTGAAGAAAGACCAATACAACCTTCACACCACATACCATAATCACCACACACCATAATCGCAGTACTATTTTGAAATGGAGATCCTGAAAAATATTAGGGTGAAATTACTTTCCCTAACTTATGACGTCACGTTCGGGATCAATTATGAACCTCTTGTCCCCATTTGAAACATTCAGAATGTGCTTATAAATAACAAGTTGATAGCTTTTATGTTAAACAAACATGTCTCTAAGAGTAAAGGCCAGAGAAAAAGGACTTATTCAACTTAAACTATATGATATTCCTTTACAAAAACCATGTGGATATAACCAAATGTTTATAAAGTAGGTATCCCTTTCATAGAAAAGAACATAATCACCAAGTAAGTTTCTATAGGTCTTAGAACTATATATACTGAAATCTTCAAATTATCTTTTTGCTGATGTTCTGTTGCTATCTCTTGAACATTAAATAACTTCATGTTTTGCATTATTGTTATTTGTTTTTTGCAGGCTCATGCCACGAAAAGTTTCCATTATGTTTCGTGACCTTCTGGACACAGGAGTTGATTTTGGATAATTAATCAATTATTCTGGTGACAAGGTTTTAATATGTGAAGGGGATGCATTCAACATTTTGCACAATATTTCTGAATTGTTGATCTCAGAGCTTTTTACTGGTATATATTTAATGTATACATTTCAATAAAACATGAATCTCATGTTAAAGTGTTTGCCTTATATTAAATATTTAAAATTGACAGGTTGTTGTTGTTGTATCAGTATTCATAGAATATGTATATTAGTTGTGTTTACATAGATTTATTCTTTGTTGAAATGGATTTGTATAATCCATGGTTTCACATGACTGCAGTTACAATGTTTTATTATTTATTTTTATACAATAAATATTTACTGGATATATTTTTTTGTTGAACTTGACTGAAATAAATTTAAGACCTCATGTAAATGAACCAAGAGTATTGTAAGTTGTACTAAACTTCTTTAGGCCTGATGTTTGAGAGTTATGTGACAGTGTTAAGACTGGTTTCTTAGTGACGCAATTGTAGCAGCTTTTCCAATGATGAAATCTATCCTCGTTGCCACAAATTCAGAATGAATAAATTAAGGTAATAGACAGTCTTACTATCTGAGCACTTCTGCCATGCATTTATAATGCTCAACAGCAAATCTTCATCTTGATAAAAGTATCCAGACAGTATAGGACTGAAATGGACTAATATTAACTTGAGATTGTCGACAAAAAAAATCATACAGCTTGTACATGGCAAAGAAACTAAAGTGCAGCAACACTGCCATGCCAAGTCCCAACTGTCAAGAACAAAGATGAATGGTACTAAGTATAAATACAGATGTGATTGTTCAGTGATAATCCCTTTTAATACTATTGTTAATATCAAAAAAATCTGCATTGACTTAGCGGTAATTATAATTGACATTAGTTACAGACCGAATTTTTTGGGAGAGATGTTTGTTAAATAAAACTGATGTTCTTTAACATTCAAAATTGATCATCTTCTATGTACTGATTGCATCACATTTTGAAGGTACTATATCGCACTCCTAATGCAAGAGGGCCACATCTCCAAAAATTTAAAATTGAAATAAACCCATTGTTAGATTCCTCATTTTCTATTACATGTCATGCAACAATGTCATGTTTTTAATTTCATTAATAGCCAAGTAAAGCAATTCAATTTAAATTCAATTCCTGTTGTTATATGCCCTCGAGAAACCTTCCGAAGGCACTTCACCAAAATAAATTATTTCGGAGTTGTGGCCCTTTGGCATTAGAAGTGCAACATGCCTCCTGGAGAAAATGCACAATGTGGCCACAAGCTTTGCACTCACTTTATCTTTGAAATTTCATCAACATTTGCAATAAATGCACTTTGTACAAAGTTGTACCATATAACGTTGGGTATCACTAACTAGGCGTCTTGGTCAAATTTTCTGAATCTGTTCTTGGCACATCAGTTAAGGCTGGGTAGAGCAATTTCTGTCTAAGCTATTAAGTCAGCAAGAAATCACATGTAAATACTGATTTTGGATGGATTTATCAACACATTAATGTTGTCTCATGTCTCCCCAGTAGTTGGGGTGTCCTGAGTTAAGATCTGAGTAGTCAGATTTCTATTACATGTAACACTGCTTCAGTGTAAAATTCGACAAGAAAAACTGTTTTTAAAAATATTTTATCGAAGAACCGTGTGAATATATTTAAGTCTACAAATAAAATAACATGAAAATCTAAGAAAAAATATCTCTGACATGATTTGTCACTGAAACAGAATCTTTGTATTTACTACATTCTTAATTAAATCTACATTATTAATATTTATACACAAAAACGTTTACAATAAAGGAAATATGTTATAAGTTTTTGTGTTAATGAGGAGAATAGAAAGTCAAAGGCAATAGGTCTTGAAACAAATGCAGAGAATGACTGATTGTGAGAAGTGAGCTGAGAAAATTTCTCTGTCACTGAGGCAACGTGCTCACAAGCTGCTTTCTTCTGTACCCCACATGTGCCTTATAACCTATATGTACGATAGTTTATTTCAGGAAAATGAAAAATTAATTTAGATTAAATACATTGTTTTATTTTTTTAGTATCTTTATACCTAGATAAAAGTAGACAGAATCCAAAATTTGCCCCAAAAAATAATTCAGGCATATCTCAGTTAAGAAGAACATCCAAAACATTGACAAGACTTCTGACTGAGGGAAGACATACAACTCTCTCTCCTTGTCACCCTTTAAAAAGCATTGGTGCATGTTCTTCCCACTTGTTCATATGAACCTGACATCAGAGCCCGTCTCAGTGGCAAAATTCACTGAAACACACTCCTCACATTCTATGTCCAGTGGAATGATGGTTAGGCCTTCCCCACTGACGAAATCTTCAAATTTAGGAGGCCCCATGTCTTTAACTCCTGGGTTATATCTGTCATGATTCTCTCAAATTTTAGACATTAAACACACTTTACATCACTTCTTCCAACTCAAGAAACCCACACATCAAATTTTCTTGAGAGAGAAAAAAATGCTACTACTAGTGACACTTGTTTGAAACCAAAAGGTCAAAGTATTTATTCCTCGACCCAAATTTGAATGACCTTTCCTGAAATGTGGCTGGAAAGGTCCGATAGTAAAACCTCTTTTTTTATCAGAATGGAAACCAGAAGAGGTGCTGATCAAAACAACCAAATCTTGTCCTGTTGTACTGAGCCCCTGAAGGGTCATTTCTACAGTATTTCCTACAAATGTTCAGCCTTGAAACAGGTATATGGATGAAGTAAAGCTTTATCAGCACTTTCAGCAAACGTTATTGATATTGGGGCTTTAGTCAGGTTTAATGTTTTCAGAATGCTGCTTGACAACTAGCTTCTGTCTACGTGGATAGTCTTAAAATGGACATAATTAACAAACAATATGGAGGGAAACTAGCTCCAATAATTTTCTATAACACATCAAAATATTGGATTATCTCATGGCTCAAAGATGTTCATGAATTGATATTTTCACTTTACCAATGTGTCAAGATGTTTGAATGTCTGAGGCACGTCATGGCTCATTCTCCCTCTGAAAAGTTGTTCCTGATTTTTCTTCATTTTCCCCTTTCCTTTCATTATAATATTTAACATTTAATCTGATTATAAATGTCATGAGCAAAAATCCCCACCATAGCTGCAGCAGCGATGCATTCTATGAGGTACGTTTCGAGTTAATACTGGCTACCCTCCTGGTGTTCTAGTATGTTTCTCCCTTAATCGTCGATGCAGAGAAGCCATTGTTACACCATTTTCAGTCGGCTCGCAGAGATAATTAAAAATGGTTTTGTGTAAAATTTCCTGCCTTTTGAAAGGTCTCGGCACCGTCATTTTGATATGGTTTGAATCCTACCTGTCTTGTACTCTGCCTATGTCTCAAATCACCCCCAGGCGACAAACTATAATTTAAGCCGTAAGTAAAGTCCGTACACAAAATTAAAATTAGAAATAATATGAACTACCAGGAAATGCGCGCCTTCACTTCATAAATCGAAACAGTTTATCTCAACAAGAAAATGGATATATTTGCAAAGATTTCCTGCAAATGTCAAGAAATATTTGATCCAATGGCGGCTTGTGGTAGAGCCATTAGGGTGTGTGACTTCACTCTTCCCTCTCCCCCTCTGTCGCTCACACTCGCATATACAAAGGTGTATATTACATGCGTACATTTATACTCATTAATATAAATAATCACAATTAAACACAGAGCATCTTATGAAGCCTGATAGCAAGCTGAAAGGTACCTTTCATCAGCAGTGAATTCAGTCGGCAAGGACCCCTCCGCAATATTAACTTCCCGAGTCGGGTTGCCGCGTAACTACTCAGCACGTTTGGGAACAGTTTTTTCCGGGGGTGTTGAGTTGTATTGTATACGTTGATTCAAAACCTTTTTTACTCACACGTTTGCTATAGATTATTTTCCATTAGCTCGCTGTACAAGTTGAAGGCTAAAAATTCAAGTTACTGAATACTCACAACAATGTATACTAGATAATTTTTCGTGTACAACGTCGAAACAAAGTCAATACAACGTCTATTCAGCAATTTTTTTCTTCACGCTTGACAGGAAAACGAACACTCTCAACTTCGGCTTTTCAAAACGCATTAAAAAAAGTAGCCAACTACATACATTTACAAAATGTATTTGGGGTTTCATTAATTCGAAATGAATGAGTAATTGCTACTTCAAAGTATAAGAGAATGTGCATATAATATGAAATTAACACTTCTTCTGAATGCAACACTGCACAGCAATACGTTCGCGTTTCGCGCGCTAGCGAAGATCTGTTTATTGGAAGGGATGAGAGCTCTTTACAGTGGAGAGATATTACTCGCGCAACTTCTCTTGAACGATGACCTTGATCCTCCTCCCTTGTGCAAAAACAGTTGAAGGCAAAAGCTCGCAGCGGGCACTGATGACAACCTTCCAAGCATTAAAACTTCGTTGGCGCGAAACAGAAGCTAGTCAAAGCCAGTTGCTTTCATAGAGCAGAACCCCTGTTCAGATTTATTGTCAATATCGAAAGAAATGGCTGAGTCAGGTCCAGGACCTTCAAGGGGGTCACCTAAAACTCCCGAAAAAGTTAAGCACAAGATGCAGTTTTGACTTTCATTTCACAGACGTTGGCATTACTTGAAATAATCTAGTGACCGACTTTGTAACTAATATCCCCACTCCACCCGAAATCGTCAATCCATCGTTCAAGAAAAGTTGCCCGAGTAATATCTCACAATTCCTTCGTTCTATGTCACACGTATTTCTCTTACTTACTTGTGCTAGCTGAGTGTTATATCTTCGAGACATGTCAAGGCATTCACTGACATCGCCACTCATCCGAATGCTCCTTCCGTCCATAAAGTCACACTGGTTCCCTCTTTCCCCTCCATCTCCGCGCAGCCAACCAAAGACCAGCCATCGACGCGCTCTAGGCGCTCTACTCGACGCGCTCTAGGCGCTAATTCCAGAGTGTGCGTCAGCTGGCTTTCATAAAGGGCACTGGTGGAAGACATCAATCGCTGCTTCCAAACGGCGCTTGTTTTGAAATTCCATGTTTCAGAAACGCTCTGACAGGAGTTTTATTCCCCTCTTGCTTAAAAGATAATGTATTGAATTAATTTGGGTGTGCACATGCGAACGTGCGAATATGCAAGAGCCGCCACTGTTTGTATCTCTTCTTAGGACTGTTACGCCCACCCCACAAATGAGCACAACTGAGAAAATCCCACGTGAAAAAACTTCGTTCAAAACTTTCCATGGTTGCCAACTTCACATGACAAAAGGCGTGTTTGTCGGAAGACACTGTTTTACCCATACACTGGTTTTACCACTCCAGAACATGCGACTTTGTGAGCTTCTGTACTCCAATTTAGACATTGTGACCTTTCGAAATTACGTAATAGCAGGAAAGGGGGACACTGTAATCCAGTCAGGACTTTCGTTACGTCTTAAATTTTGGAATTGAAGTTTCCAATAGCGAATCCCTCTCCTTCCACGACTTTCATGACAGTCCTTCTATGACTCCTTCCGAGACGTAGAAGGGATGTTTAAATCGGAGTGGGGCACAGTCGCTCACGTCGGAGAGTATTGTAGTCACCCTTGGGCTTAGAGAAAGTGAGGGAGTTCTGGGCCTTTCGGTGTCTGATGCCAGATGCCGCGAGTTTGTGAGCTATTGTAGAAGATCGATAGTGCTGTCCGCTATGGCAATTGATTTTATTATAATTTTAATTCACACAATATTTACGAGGTACAACAAATGTTCACCACAGAATTCCTGAGAAGCCTATTCGATTTCTTCGCTCGTATGTTGTAATGCCAGCCGTTGTGAGTACTAGTATGTAATCTAAGGTTCCTGTGACGCCTTGCAGCGCCATTGTTAGTTCGGCCGATTTCGCTATAAATAAAGGCAGAGATTTTCTTTTAAAGAACAGTCCAAACCAACATTGAGGGTGCACTTCTATCCTTTATTGTTCTGGTCCAAACCAAACGTTTGCAAGCTCAGCTCACTTGAACAAAAGGAAGAAGCTTCGATTACATCAGTAGTATACCCAACAGCTTGAGTTGTTCATGTTAAGTGGTTTTGATCAAACTAGAGCGACATGTTTCTTTGTTTTAGGGCATTTTAAGAGTATTTTGGACAATGTTTTAGATAATCAAAATTCCCCCTCATGTGACTACAGGTACCACCCATCTTCGTAAATCGTTGACGCGACGCGTCTTTTTTTGTCAAGTCACGTTGCAGTCAGTGACATGCCATATAGTATGCAGAGAGTATAATACTCAGGCCAGTGCCTTTTATCCCTTCGGGTACGGGCTCGTAATTAAAATAATAGAGAAATGCTCCATTATTAAATTTTTTGTCAAGTCTCAATCACAGCATCATATGTATGAGCCGCTAAAATTTTCTGGATCGTCAAGACATATTTGTGAAGAAGCTAAGCCCAAATATTGCGCAGCTCACCAAATCAACTGTATATTTCTGGGCAATCAAGTCATATGTCTCAATTGTATTGCAAGAAATGACATCAAATGTTCATTAAAACTTGGCAAGCAAAATATATTATTAGGGATAGCAAGTAATATTTTAAGCACTGCAAACATGTTTGAAAAATATAAGAAAATAACATTTATTTATATTTATAAATAACCGTAGACATATTTTCTATAATTAACACTTTGTTGGTACCCTGGGTCTGTGGAATCCACCGCCATTATTCTTTACGGTCTTTTTTGTGCGTTGACGGCGATTGACGTCCTTCATCTGATTGGTACCTTCGTAGACAAGGTAAACGAATTGTTTCAGAAGATTATTATTGTACGAGTGATTTTGAGTCTGTTAGACCCAGCATACCAGTCGCGTTGTCTCTTAGCAGCAAGAGTTGGAAGCCCCGAGTCTCGTCAGTCATTGATCATAAGCCGTGTCCTTGAGGTCTGTAAGGATACGTGTGGCTCTCCTGAGTACACTTTTCAGCAGATTTATGTCCTTGAGAAGGTAAGGATTCCAAATCGCAGTGCCCAAATCAACTATCGGGAGAAAGTAGGTTGTATATAGCTATGTGAATACATTGCTTCTTATACTCTTAGTCTTAAAGGCTTTACGCAGTGTAAATATTGATTTGTTAGCCTTTTGCATTGTTATACACGTGTTTTTTCCATTTGAGGTCGTTAGAGATCATAATCCGTTGATCCTTCACGACTTTGATTTCAGACAAGTTCCTTCCGCCTATTTGGTAATTTCGCTTTGGGCTGGATCTTCCAATATGCACGACTATACATTTTGTTTCGTTCAGGGGTAACATTCAAACTCTCATAAACAGTATTAAAGTTCTCTTGAAGGTAGATATATTTACTGGCACAAAAATCCATTAAAAAACTTGTTTAACATGAAACAATAATTAAACAAGGACTTACAATTAAAAACATACGTTCTGTAACACGTTCCATTTCAAAATTTGAATGATTATTTTCAAACAACATAATTATTTGGCTTCGACTCCGCAATAAAATTTCCGCCCGGCTTGGGTGACACCGTAAACATAATAGAGCCATAATAGAACATGTTCAATCTCGAATACAGCTTTCACTAGTAACTTGCTGTCGTTGTTACGTACGGAATTTAATATTCCCAACAATAGTGTAGCTAACCTACGAGTTAAAAATGCTCAACTAGAAACTATTTTTTCAAATTTTGGCCAAGTTTTAGGCATTTTATCCCAACGTCCGTCGTGGAGGGTCGAGGGTGCGCGCGAGAAGTGAGAAGGGAAGTAGGTTCGGGCCATCGGCACGTGAACACGAAGCGGCGGCTGCAGCGCCGGGCACGCGGCACGCGTCTCGAAAGTTCCCTTGGGCCGGAGGGGGGGTCAGGGAAAGGGGCCCAGCCGTCTTCGGAACGGCGCGCTCAGCAGCCAAAGAAATACGCGTTTCCTAACGTTAAGCAATGTTGAGATTCATTTAGCAAGAACTGCTTATAATTACCTATTAAATAATTGCTCAATTTTGAGCTGCTCACCATACCCCCAGGGAGAAATTAATGGACTTTTCCAATTTTTAAAACACTTTTCTAAGGTAATAAAATTGGCCTTTAAAGATAATGATTAGTTTAGAAGCTGCTTCGGTACTTTATTAGAACAAAAAAGGATTACAGCAAAATATCACAGGAAATTCTGAAGCATAAGCTTCTGCATAAAAATATCAACAGATAAATAAAATATAATTTAATACAGTTTAGAGTGTGGTTGTAATTTGTAAGTAGAAATAAACATTTTACAATATTTGGTGAAATACTGAAAGAATCTATTGGCTCTCATTCCTGATGTGGAACAGTTAAAATCAACGACTTTTGAAGTTCTAGAGAGCTTGAAATTTACTACAATCTACAAATAGCTTTCTTAATAGATAACTCTCCTGATCTAACACTCAGTAAATCACATGAGATCAAAAAGTCAGTTCTGTGGCTATCTGGCAGTACTAAAAATGAAGTGCTTCAAAACTAACTTATGATGCACATCAATACTACAGAACTGGCAGAGGTTAAACATTTTAAACCAAACTATGAATTCTCCAGCACAAAAATACACATACCCAATTTCATTTGCCTGTCTGAGATTATGTTAATTATGGTACATAAACTCTATTTTAACCTAACACGAGTTTACTCCAATAAATTTATTTCCTGTACAAATTAGATGTACTTTTAAAAATTAATTTATAAATTGTGAATAATATTTATTCAATATTTAATGAGAAAACAATTAGCAAGATTAATTCTTATGTAATTTAAACATTCCACAAACTAAATCACTTATATACAAAAACATAAATAAATCTATAAATGATAATTGTTCATTGTTGCATTGTACATTGTAACTTACAAAAATTGTGAATAATACAAAATAGTCAAGTAGAGATCCCTCTGTCATTCACACACATACAAAATATATTCCAAAGAGGTATTTAGCAAATCAATCTTAGACATCAGAGCTGATATCTAGTCACTGGCATGCATAGTTTCACTGTTCTAATCTAACCTATTTTGAGCTTTTCAATTGAGAGAAAAAGAAGAAGAAAAAAAATAAAGAGTTCAACAAAGCAAAAGTAGTCAGTTATTTTGCTATATGTTTCTACATATAAATTACACAAACATATTGCAAATAACTATTTAAATTACTTATAAGGAAATATATTTCATTACAAGTTTTTATTCTAATAAAAAGAGCTACCTCGGAACCAGTCAATAACCAGAAAATAGAGAAGTATGAATTGTCGAAAGTTTAACTTCCTTTTCACATTACTATTTCCTACTTTCAGTCATTGCTTAACAAAGACAAATTATCATCTCCGACAATAAACAGCACCACCAAACTACACAGGAGTTTGTTACACAGCAGTAATAAAAAAATACCCAGAATAATGAGAATAATGAGTAACTAACACACTTTTCCTCTAACATCAACACTTATAAAAATTGTAAATGATAATTTGTACTATAAATTATATTATAAGAGCAATATTTTTAAACAAATACATAGGAACACAGTAAAAAATAAATTATAAAAAGAGACATATGTACACAAAGTCTTAAATATGACTATCAGCACACCAAAATTCCTGATCTCTTAAATACTTTCTGACACACAGCATTGTATCATTCAATACAGACCACAAAAGCTTCTAACAATTAAATACATCCAAAAAAAAGCATTCTCAGCTGTCATTACTAACTCAATAATCTAATAGAATATTTGGAATTACACAAAAGTGATACCTACATAAGCTAGTGCAATTTTCTTGAAAGGCAATATTTGGCAGGTTTCATACCACAGTTATGCAGAAGTTACAACTGATGTCGAAACCTGTGCCCCAGCTGTTGCACTTTGGATATCTGCTTCAAGAGTGACATCAACATCTATTTCTGGAATAGGGTCTCTCCAATAAATGAAATTAGTGAAATCTTCTGATGCATCTTCAGGAGGAGGCGGAAACATCTGATCCACTATGTAGCTCATGTTGGAATACCTACGAATACAAAAGTGAAGTCTGATGAACACAACACACACAAAATGCGGGGGGCGGGACAAACAATTATTGTCAATTAATTGAGAAGCAATTATAAATTAATTTAACAATTTCTTATAATTACCAATATAACGTTTGTATTAATTCTTGATAGTTATTTAAATTTTGTTCTTTGTAATGACAAAATACTATGTAGTATTAGTAGCAATAAATACATTTCAGAATAATTATTTTAAAAATAGGATTTAAAAAGTTATTTTCCAGAAAAGATTGGGGATATTACTATCATTGTAATATATTGTAAGAAAAGGGCTAGAATTAAATACAGAGACAAATTCATTTTCTGGTAAGAAGAAAAACAAATTAAATGACATGGACACTCCTAAGAAAAAGTTATATAGGATGTCATCCCTTTTGAAGTTACAGACAGGACAACTTATTACAACAACTTTCAAAGGACAGAACAGCCTTTTCCCACACACCCAAACAAAGACAAAACATAAAAAGCAATATTTTTTGCTCACAGAATCACACCAAGTCCACAAGAATTTTGGGTATGAAGCAAGTGGCATGCAAGCTTTATTAGTTCACACATGAATCTCTCTTTCAGTTGAGAAGGCCATGCACAGAGCATCTCCCTGTGCTTACCAAGTGGCAGCTAACAGGATATTTTGTTGCCCTAACCATACAAGCAGAATTCTGCAGTTTAGTTAAATAGGTGAACTAATCCACTATGAGCCAGTTGAGATGGTAGAAGAATGATTTGTCTCAATGTTCTTAATACATCAAGATTGGTGGGAACAAATCATTCACGATACAACTTTGCCCAGAATAACTGTAAAAAATAAGATGTGGAGAATTGCAATAACAAAGTAACTAAAAAGAAAATTAAGGATCAACAAATTATAAAAAGGATTTGCTCTTCATGAATTAAATAAAAATGCTGTGACTGAAATTAACTATGGTAAAACAAATGAAAAGTAAAAGTTCTCAAGATTGTTCAACGCTATTGCCATTGCACCCACCATCACCAATAACAAGCTTCTAAAACTCCACAGCAGAAAAATGGCCATTCTTACATTTCATATGTTGCATATCAGAAGCAACTCACAATTATCTAGTTTAATCTAGTTAGACGATTTATATTAGTCTGATTAATCAACCAATAAGGCTTTTCTATTTCAATGAAACAGAAATAAAGAGCCTTCGAGAAAATCCTACAACAATGTAACAGAATAAATACTAGCTATGGAGACATTATTAAAGGACATAATCATCTCTTAAGTAATAGTTCTTCAGCCACTAAAATTCATTGTGACGTTTATCAATTTAAAAGAATGTTTTGGCTAGCAAGCTTCAGGTATGTTCAATTCTTGCTTATGTGGAGTACAAGACCTAAAACTAATTAAAAATATAATCCAAAAGAAGATGCATCTTCTTCCAATTTCGAAAATTATGGAGGAAAGGAAAGACTAATGTGATGTCCAAGTGTTCAAAATTAATCTTCCTTATATACGAGTCTTATGAGTGCATTATGCGAAAACCTGTGCTATAGTATATAGAAAATAAAGAATTCAAAATGCATAACTGTAAAACTGTTAAAATTAAAAAAGAGAAAGAAAACTAGTTTTACAAACATATAAAAATTATAGGAAATGAAGTAATCTAATTAGAAATCAAAAGTTCATGGGAGTGTAACTAACAAGAGCGCATTGGCAGCAATACGAAATGCAACCTGCAACAAATGTGCACGATCTACTAAATTAGAATAGCAACACTACTTTGACTGAATAACGAATACTCCTCCACACAACGTCTTGACCATACCATCCTCCCTATAGCTAAGAATTAATTTATTTTAACCAGGCACCTACATCAATATTTTCATCAGTTTTATGGGTTGAAAAAATGCAGTCAGGAAATTGTAGGCATATACCCACATTTGTCACCTTATTAGATGCAAGCACCCTGTTCGCAGTTTATCCTACAGTACATCTGATAACAATTGGAAGAAAAATCTGGCTGCATTCTTCATTTGAGAAAACAAATGAATTTCAATAAACCTTCGTACTTTACACAATATTTGTAGGTTCAAGAACAATTAAGGAGATTAAATGCATAAATTTAATTTTGTATTTAATTGTGAATATTCTCTCCATACAAGGCAAACATTGTACTCTTAGGCTGAAAGTGAATAAAACCCATCAATTTATTATTGCATTATTTAAAAACTGAACCATTGATGAATGGTGTGTCAATAATTTCACAACAATCCAATTCAAGATACCAAAAATTTAATGACCACTTAATTGCTAACGTAAATTTAATTACTTTCACATAAAGTTTAAAGAGTAAACTTTGAACAATGAATTAACTTTCCCGCGTCAGGATTCATTTAAAATATTGGGAAGAAATTTGTTTCCTTTACACGAGACGCACGAGTTCTATTCTTCCCCCAATACCCTGTTGTTTAAATGGTCAGTGTTTAAGAATAACTGTTCTGTATTCTTCATTTGAGAATACAAAACACTTTCAATAATTCTTCCTACCATTTTAGTGAACGTAAGGTTCAGAAACAGTTCTTATAAGAATTGAATTGAATAATGTTATTTAGTGTATCAGGTTAAAATAAACTAGTTTTGATGAAGTATAGTTGAGGCCTGTTTTGTAACCTCTCTATTAAATAAGAATGGCCATCCAACAGTATGTGATATCAGACCCAATATATTTCAATCCAGCACCCTTGGCAACATACCACTCAAGCCAACCTTTTACAATTTATTTTAATTTGAGACGTTACTTTCAGTTCTCCATGAGGAGCAATGAAGTTGGGTAAAATAAGTTAAAGTAGTTGGAACTTACGAGGACTGGAATGTCTGCGTCAGCTCATGTTTCAATTCTCCACGATGATTAATGGTAAAAATTCGGAATATGGGAATGCCTACAGCTCTATAAGCCCAAACATCCTGCAAAAATATGCATATTGTTAGAATATTGTCATTTCTTCACAGTTCACAAATTTAAACAAAGAAAAGGACTTACATTAATTCGATTGCCATATCCTGCATAGAATGGTTTACTATCCTCGGGAAAAAGAGCTTGGATGTCTCTTAAACAAGATATCTTAAATTCTTCTGGCTTCTTTTCAATCACTTCCCTGTAAATTGATGCAACAATAAGCATTTTCAGCATTTCAAAATATCCATAAGAATGTGATAATTAATTTACAATATAGACCCTTCCTTCTACACAGCATTGGTTGTCAATATGGGGCAAGAGCACAAGCGCACATAGTTACTGAAGCGAGTTTCACTATGAACTATAAGAACAAGACTTTTCTCATCAACCAATTAATAAACAAAAACAATAAAAGCCTTACCTATGGAAAGCACTAAGAAGACTAGTTGGATTGAGAAGAAGGGGTCCATCAGGAAGAGACAAATCACCTTGTTTGATAGACTTTAAATATTCTCGTGTTACACGAGCTTGACCTGTTGAATAATTAATGATGCGCAATATTACAAATAATGCAAATTAAAGACACTTCAAAATGCAAATTTTCAAAACAAACAGCAAGGTGTTACATCCAAATAGTAATGCACTTTTGCAAACTAAGGAAATCCTCGATATTTGGCAATAAAATTTACTCCTGCTTGTTGCAAAGTTTATTTTGCTTATCACAGTGATTGCTCTAGTCAAATTTCCTGAGGTAAATTTCAGTGTTCAATATAAAACAAAATTTAATTTTTCAACAATATTTTATTAACCAAGGATTATGTTCTGGGAATGGTTTACTTACCAATAGCTCTTGCTGATAAATACAACAGTTTATAACCATTATTTTTAATTTTTGTAAATAACTGAGCAACACCACTCTGAGCCCAGTCCTTACCCACAATTGGCAAAATATGACCAAGGACATCAGACCTGGAAAAATATTTAATTTAAATATGCAATTTTGCCAATATGCCATATGACTATAGGAAGTACTAAAATTTCAGATAAATTCTTACTTGGTGATTGTGCCATCTATATCTGAAATAACAATTTTATCATCAAAACGCCATTTATATATATGACATTTGCAGCGTGTTGTCCCTTGATAGGCTGTTGTCACACTGAACACCACTTCATTTCCACCTTCATGGAGTTTCAAGCGAGACTAATGAACAAAATAATTTGTATCATACATTAGTATAAATGAAGGTAACTATTAAAACAATAGTAAGTTAAAAAGAAGAAAATTAGTATCTGTAAAACACACAAAATTTATATTCATAAACAAATCAAATTTTATGATTCTTACAATTTGATCAGAAGACAGCCTCAGAGTCTTTCTGTACTTGTCTGTATGTTCATAATAACTTCGTCTCTCCATGGGCAATTTTATGCCCTGTGTCTTAGGATGACCAGTGTCAGAATCTTCTGAAGAATTGGAACCACTATACCCCTCTTCTTTGGAACTGAAAGGCAACCATGTTCAATTCAATACACATATCAAAATACAAAATAAAGTTGAATTCATCTTTGACAACTTACTCTTTTTGTTCATCACCTAATGATGTTCTTGGGAAACTAGTTTGTGTGCCAATTTCAGTTTCAATTATTTCATCAGTTTTCAGTTCATCTGACTGTTTATCAAATTCTTTTGCACGTTCAATTTCAACTTCAATGCTTCCTAGTGACCTGGAGTAATTGAGTATTACAAAAAGATCAATAAATGATCTGGCAATATCTGTGATTTACTAATTCAGTGAAATTTTAATAGCACGTTTTCAAATTCCCCACCTATCGTGTTTGGTGAAATAGTTTCCTACTTAAGAACATCTTTCAAAACAATGAAATAATTTAGTTATCAGAGAAATAAATGTTGAAATGACTGCTTTGGTATTCCTTAAAAATTTTACAACATACGCAGGAGATACAACTTAGAAATATTTCCACCAGTAAAAGGAAAATATTGAGGAGTACCAAGGGGTTTTTTAAAAGTTATTTTCACAAAGGGTGAGAAAATTTATCATGCTAGAAAAGTTTCACTGCATTTTTATATGCCTTTACTTACTACTATAATATGCCACTTTTTGTAATGTATCTATATTTTATTTTGTTATTACAATCAGGTATTAGAGTTATTTAACAAGTTTAAATTGTGTTCAATGAACACAGGATGTGCAGGAGCTGTGTTTTGGGTTTCAGAATTATGAACGGACTACCATTTTATAATTTTACAACAATTTGGGAGAAATTGTGCATGTCATGCATTAATATTTTAACGGAAAACCAGACGTTATAAAAAAATTCAATGCATTACTTATTCAAAATAATATCAAATTACCTCAAAGGAGGTTTAGTTTCTAAAATAGGCGTAGGCGTTTTTTCTTCTGGGGTTGTTTCTGGAGTTTCCTTAATTTCCAAAATTTTCTCAGACTCTGGAGATGATAGATCATCTTGCCCTGCAACTTTTTTTGGTTCACTAGTTCTACGCCAATAGAACCAAGATGAATAAGAAGATTGTTTTACATCCTTCTTTTGGCCCTTTTTCAATGGCATATATTCATTGTAGAGGGTGTCAACTACTTGCTGTAATGTTTGGATAAAACATTATATCAAAACGTTGTCCAATTTGAACAAATTCTTCCTAAAACAATTACACTTCATGCTTTGAGACTGTTTCTAGAAAGACATACCTGAGGTAGTGGTTTCTGAAACACCACCAGAGACATCACTAACGGGCATGCTGTACGCCAATTGTAATATTTCCCATTAAGTCGTACAACCAAGTTGGGATTTTCTATAATTTTTGGATCTTGAATGAAATCATTGTAGGTGACTAGACTTTGAAGAAAGTGGTCCTCACTTGGTCCGCATGATTCTCCCAAACCACCACATAAAGATAATGATATTTCTCCATATGACCTAAAAGAATTGCAAGATTAAAATATTTTGTTCAATGTTCATCTATGTGAAAATGTAATAATAGGTTTAATTAAATAATATGGAATGCGTTTCATTTAAAGCTTCTGTCAGAGCATTTTTAATACAAGAATGCAATTTTAAAATAACGTTATCATTTCTTACTTCATTTCAAAAATTGTATGCTTTGGTTCCTCAAAGTCACTATCAACAGACTTTGGCCCTCCAATAGCTCCTTCGACACTGTGAGGAGATTGTGGAAGCGAAGTTCCATTTCCTGATTCAGCATCATCTTCATCTCTTGATCTACCAGATGTTTCTACAATTAGAGGAAAAAACACATTTTGTGAGATAAGATTATAAAAGTTCTTCTGTTGAAGGAAATTTCTTGGAAGGTAAAATATTACCTAGCATATTTAACACATGAATAATTTTCTCCCCAAATTCCACTGTTTATGAATATTAGAGTAGAAGAGGAAATTACTAGTTAGCCAAGTGTGTGTATGTGCACGCAAATGTGAGCACATGTCTGTGTGCATGCATGTGTGTGAACACAGAACTATGTGGGAATTCACGCAGGCTTCTGCACATTTACTCTTTCTGTTCCATAAACAATCAATCAAAATACATCCTAAATATTAAGTAATTCCTTGTAAAACGAGAGAAACAGGTTAGCAGCAGAATTAGAAAGCAATGTGTAATTTGCAAAGCAAACAAACATGCACAGCCCCTTTTTGCATACCTGTCCCATGCTGCATAACAGAACTGTGTCCTTGACGATAAGATGTAGGAAAATACAGAGCAGCTACTTCTGGATCCAGTTCCTCAGCATTCAAGTCGGAAAGATAGATTCCTTCAGATTCGGGGTTATGGCGAATTCTCTTAGTCTTTTTCATAAAGCTGAACATCCCACTGAGCATAGAGCGTTGAGCTGCAGCCTCAGCCGCTGCCGCTGCCGCCACCGCAGCTGCAAGCCAAATCACCGCATTCCAGACAATCCCACCCACAAGCATCAGCCACAGTGGGCTACACACATCACCCATTACCGTGAGTAGATCCCCTCATGCTTGCAAAATGCACAGCTCAAGAGTTTTAGATTCAAAGAGGAATTATAAGCATCGGTAAAATACAAACTAAGTGTAACGTAAACCTTATAAAATGTAACAAGCTAATTTTATTCTCTCAGATGGAATGTTCTCTTAACTAAAAAAAAAAATAAAACAACATACAGCAACATTGCAATCAAAACAAAACCTTTAACATACCTTCAGTTTTTTTCTTGTTCATTTCTTCATCGCTTGAAGAGATTGGTTCTTGTTCAGCAGTCTCTTTCATAGATGTTGACCTATTGGTCTGAGTGGAAATAATAGAGCGAGGGGGAGGAGAAGGAAGTTCACCCCATCGCCAGGACTGTTGCATCTGTCCATGAATTACTTTTGTGTCATCTTCATCTTCAGTTCCAACAGCCTTTGACTGACGGTTCATTTCAAATTCTGTGTCTGACTGCACTGGTGAGCAGGGTCTTGAGGCAGGGGGGCTGTTAACAATTATTCACACTCAAGTTAGTTAACCAATTTAAAATGGATTACTTTCAAATATCTACATCACAGAACATATTGCAGTAGTTACTATTTACTCAAATATGAACAACCATTTAAGTATCTAGTTATTCAAATATAAATTATTTTTCTATTACAAATGCCACTCTTATCCAATAATATAAAGACCAGGCATTTAAATTCATTGTGGAATAACACAGATTCAACAATGTATTTATAACACAAATGTAAAATATTAATTATAGACAAAGTTCATGCAAGGCACATTTACACAAAGACCAAAATATTATTAATATCCAGAGGTCTAAAACATTATAACAGGTACACTACGGTCCAAAGGCAAAAATTTGTTATTTTGGAGAAAATAATAAAAAATTTGGACTAATTTTGAATTTTTGAAGAGTGTGGGTATTAAATGAAACCTTATCAAGGCATGTGTATAAAGTTATAATACAAAAAAATAATATGAAAAAAATAAAACTTCTCTTTTTTCAGAAGACACAACTAATCAAACTGTAATATTTCGATAAAAACTTTGCCCCTATAATGAGAAAAATTGGCCCCTCTGGCTTTGTGGTTCCCACACCATACATAAATTATACTTTGTATTGTCTTTGTAATGCAATTTTCTTATTAAATGGACACATACTTGAAAAACATTACAAAACACCTGCCTCAAAAGTGTTGCAGGTGAATTCAATAATTGTATCAAAGAAAAACATTTTGTATCAATTGTGTGTTCACAGATTTTCGAATCTGTAAACAAAAATTTAGTTTTTCTTTATTTCACTACATTTTTTTTCTTCCGAGTCAATTGCAGGAAAAACACAACTAAATACTATTACATGTTATTATTGTGCAACTTCCTGAGATCCAGTCATTTCTCATAAACAACAACCTATCACTAATGTGTTTTTGTATCTGCAAAAAATGTTTAGTTCTGTATCACATGACAACTTTGGGAGTTTTTCCTCTATTAGTATTCAATTATTTAACATTAGAATCATTGAACCAACAACAACATTGTATGTACGCAATATTCCACATTAAATAGCTCATAGTAAAGGAAAATGGGGAAAATATCTAGTACAAGTCTCTGGTACTAGATATTTACTAGGTAACTAAGCAAACTCAGTTTGATTTTCTAATATTAAATGTGTCTCTGAAAGTCTTCAAACCTCTCCATTTCTTTGAACACTGAAAAAAATGTATTGTTCTTACTTCATAGGTATTACATACAAGCTTAATCATGTGAATTGCTTTATGTGGTAATAGCACATTAATGTGCCTTTTATGACAAAAAAAGCAGTGCAACTGAAATGACTTAATCCAACAACTAAATATTTACTGTACTTCAAAAATGTCTGTTTATTTTTATCAAAAAAATCTTGATGATCAAAAATTGATTGAAAAAATTTAAAACCACAAGTGGACACATGATAGTTGTGTTAAGGTGTACAGAAAACATATTCCAAGTGAACTTCAGAAATATGAATGTAATAGGGCTAACACATCATATCATGCCGCTTCCAAGACACCAGCGAAATTTAGAAAACTAGCACATTAACAGAAGGAATCAACTAAATATAAATAAACTTCTAACTTTTTCCACAATTCCAAACTTCTCACATCCTCTACTTTGATTTATACTGGGTTTCCAAGTTCCATAAATGACAAATAATGTGAAAAATGGTTGCAACACATATTTTACTAACTGAAATAAATAAAAGCAACATGCAGCAAAAATGAAAACATTTCAGGCAAAATGGCAGAAAACTGTCTACTACCACTCAGTACCAGTTAGTAAGCAAAGGTCTTATTTACAAACGAGATGCAGTTATCACTTCAAACGCTGTGTCACAAAGAGCAGTGGGGTACCTGCGACTGTCACTGATTCGACTGTGAGAAAAAAAAAATTGGGACCAAAAATCAAAATTCATGTAACACAACTTAATTTAATTAACTAATATTGCCATTATACACAATGAATAAATGTTCACGTTAGTATATTTATCCATAGTTATCAGCACTAAACGGCTAATTAAATGATGTAATAGGACAAGTATCTCAATTTATAATGATCTTCATACAATAATAGCGAAAATGAGAACTTATATTTCATCAGCTCCAATCCATAAAGAATTGGAATCAGATTACTGGAAGCATATTCAATAACATGGAACAAATCATGCTTAACAACAAAGGTTTTCTTCACACAAGCTCAAAATCAATAACAACCACTTTGTCAAAAGTAAGGGCATTCAAAATATTTTTTGACAATGTAGTTGTACACACTGGCAAATAATCCAAGTTACACAAACATTTGACAACTTACGTGCATCCTGGTGTAACTTCAGTGTCACTAAAGAAATGAAAGTCTGTCTCTGTAGATGCATGCTGTATTCTTGACAATTCCACAAGATTTTCAGCACTGCTGGTAATATGTTTATTCACAACTGTGCTAACTTCCATAGTCGTAACTGTGACAACAGAACTCTGTAAATGAATAACACAAGTTAAAATATGTCAAATACTGTGAAGAAACTTTGTTCTAAAATTATCATTTCCAAATATTTGAATTAATTCTATAAAACAAATATGAATACTACGCCACAACAAATTAAACAAATCTTTTAACACACCTGAAGCAGTTCAGAACTTCTTTGCTCTTTGTCATTGGGTATTAATACTGCATCTGATTCTTCAGCGTTTTCAGATGAAGTAACATCTTTCTGTGCATCTTTACTACCTTCTGAAAATTCAGATTGTTCAGTCTGACTGGATGAACCCCCATTTCCTTTCTTGGCACCAGCTTTCCTTTTCATCAAAGACTTCCTGCGCTTCTTCCTCTTAGCACTGCTAGAAGTTCTTTTCAGCAACCCTTCCACCGAAGTATTGTCTTTGAATGAGTCTTTCCTTAACAACTCTTCTTCATCATTTGCCTCAACTGTGCCATTGTCATCGGTTTGTTGAGCAACTTCAGAGTTTGTTGCATCAGTATCTAATGATATAGGACGAAATTCTCCATTCACAATACTGATTTTACGAACCTTATCATTCAATTTAGCATCATCATCTACTGTCTCCGCACAAAATGTCTTTGGTAGCGACTGATGTGCAGGAGAGTCTCCTGATCCCACTGCTGTCTCTTTTGACTGATTGTTAACAGCTAAATTATCTTGATTGGGAACAACTTGTTCATCAGTTTCCCTAAGGCTGTCATCTAGACTAGCTACCCGTACTTCTGAGAGGGAACCATAATCAGGCTCAATGGAACGAGCTTCAGTTCTCAGATTATCTGTGACTAGAACCTCTTCCAATTTTGCACACTCTATGGCAAACGATCCAGGGTCATCTTGGGGAATTGGTGAGCAAGCAAGGTGAGGTGGTATAAAGCCATCTTCACCCAACTCGTCAGCATCAACTTCTTCAACAAAAAATGCCTCCCCTGAATCCCCCAATTTCATATGTATATCCAACTGCTCACCATTGATTTCAATATCAACCTAGGGAGGAAAAAACACTTATGTAAGGTGATGCAATCTCTAAGAACATTAAAAAGTTTAATAAAGATATCTTTGGAAACAAATTTCTATTGTAAGGCATCCATAAATATTACATATTCTATGCTATTACATTATTGAATTCTGATGTTCTTTATTGTTTTTAATAAAAGAAGTCTGCAAATAACTTTCCTTACAGAATACTGTACCAAGATTTGGTGAAGATTCTCAAAGTGAACAAAGCCAGCAGACAGCAGTTATAAAAGTAAATTATTTTAATTTAATAAAATTGAAAAATTTAGCTTTGAAGGTTCATAATTTTATACTTCAGTCATTGCGGTAAAAAATTATTGAAACGAATGAAAATGAAAGAAAATGCGAAAGAAACTAGTGACATTTTGTTTTGAAATCTTTTCAATTTCTCCTTAATGGAGTTCATCTAATTTAAATTTAAAAGAAAACAAAAACATGTTAATTGATCCTTATACTAACAGACTCAAAGACTGAACTTACCACTTTCTCGCGGCTTCGCAAAACGCCCAATTTGCCGAAGCGAACGTGAAACGGTGAGCATGTGTAAGATCCATCCGGCTGCTCAACCACAATCACATCAATAGCACCTGTCAGTGTTGCAGCATTTATTTCATTATAAAAATCCCGAAAGTTGCTAATGAACTTTCCTATTGCATTCATACTGTACATCACGAAGATTTGCTAAGAAACTTTCAACGTAAATTTACCAAACACGATTACTCGTGTATAAACATTTTCAAATACGTAAGCTTAGAGAGTTCTACACGTCAAGCGGTATTTTCCCGACTGTCAATTTATCCGCAAAACATGTCTGTCAAAAACTGTCCTTTCATTCAGAGCACATGCCGACAGGCACAATGTAAAAACAGATTTACACCAGGCGAATTCGGCAAACACAAATTATCTTTACTCCTTTTAACAATACTGTCCGTCTACACCGGCCGACGGAATAACACTGCTCTACCTCAAGCGTTCAGGCAAAGCAGGTCCTTCCTATCGAGCACGGACTAGCACTGACACAAAGATCAATGTTACGCAGTCTTCTCTGCAGCACACAGCTGTTTCCAAGCTGTTGCCAAGTTTCTCTACAGTGCTGCTCACTGGTGGACTGAACACAAAGCAGCGCCTGGAAAGAAAGAGAAAAAAAAGTTAGGATCACTCGGTATGTATCTGCAACAATTTCACGGGTTGCCTTCTGAAAACAGATATCTGTATTCTATAAACTATGTTACAACAAAGGTATCGAAATAGTTAAACGACTTGAGTTTCAAAATGTGCTCAATAAATTATATGACACCTTTGTAAAATGTAGAAGATACGCGACCTGTACTCAAAACTATGTAGTCTTGTTACTACATAGTTAATTTACTACTGAATTGTGTACAGAAAGCTTTTTTTTACAAAACAGTTCTAATAAGCACACCAAACATTAAGTCTACCTATAATTTTAATTATTTGTTTTGTAAAAGTGACAAATTTATGCAATTACTGTAATAATACACCCCCATAGATGTGAGATACATCAAAGCACAATTGATGCATACTACCATACACAACTGCGAATAATATTCTCCGCGATTGACTGACTGTAATAATAGTGCGAACAAGACAGGCGGAGAAAGCGCCATTCGTATCGTACCATTAGAGATCGCTGCGTGGTTGGTCAAATGAAAGGTCACCTGATACTACAAGTTATGACTCTTGGTTTTCGTATCGTACGATATGCTACGTACATCGAATGTCTATGTATTAAGTGCATTAATATATTTACATTATTGTTGGACAAAAGCTTTTCCTGAAAAATATAAGAATATATTAGTTTATCCCTCAACAACACCAATTGATTTACAGACGTTTATAACATAAAACATGGGTGATGCTCAATTATTACATTTTCCATTCTTCAAATTGTTTTCCACTCCTTGAAAATTTGACGTTCTGGGCGCATTTCTAAATATGACGTTGGATTATTCAAGAAATATATATTACTATTCTACCATAAGTTAGGCCACACCTTCATATTGCATGTGTACAAGTTTTATTTTGCAGGATATGAGTGCACCGAAACTAATTATCTAGAGATTTTTAATGAGATTTAAGAAAACGCGTTCAATCAATGGAAAGAGGTCGTGCGAGTCTGATCTACTTTACAATCTAAATTATAGAAGAAATATATCGTTCCTATAAATTAATTGGATTCATTGACAGTTTGTTGTTGTTGTTGTTTTCTCACACAAATAAAACGTTAAAAGGTTGGAAGAACACACGCAATTTAAACACGCAGAAACTGCTGAATGAATCATGTTTGGCAGCGGTCATGAACCTCCCTCACAGACCGAGACGAAATAGTCGGTTTGGAAAAGCACCAGGTTGAAAAAGTGATTAACGTTCTTCTCCGGACACTGAGACCCCCCTCCGGATGGCAAGGGGGCTCTAATTCATTCCTTTTGATTCAAACGTCGGAAAGAGACAATATTATAAAGTTAGACTACTAAACTTTTAACTATTTCAAAATAATAAATAGATAATTTAAACATTTCCTGCTTGTGTAATTCATTGCAAATTTATTTGTGAATTTTCATAAAGCGTACAAAAATTTAGAATATTTTAGATCTGATGTGTTTCATTCATTTTAAAATTAAAGCTTCAAAAAACGAATATGTATCGTTTATTACAAAACTGTTGCCTACAAAAAGTCTCAGAGCGAGCTCTTTCATTTCCAGCAGACGGATGCTGCGACATGGCAAACCCACGCTCCGGTCCGTGCTCCACGTGTTTTACCATTGATCTGGTCTGCAACGCCTTCGAAATAAAGGATGAGGGAAGTTCTCCGCGTTCTGTTGAAGTCATCGGCGTCGCTATGTTCATCACGTCTACCTGAACGAAAGGGAGGTTGAAAAGTGTCATAAGAGATTCGGAAGCTTACATTTTAATTTGTAAAGGGAAGGTACAATCATATGGGTGAAGTGTCCTGAAAACTACAGAGAAAGAGTCTGTCCTTTCTCCAAGGTATTACCATTTATAATAAGCTAATATGCGAATGCCAGCCGCTACAACGAAATAATGAAAGTCAAACTCCTTTGCACATAAATGCGTACAGTATAATACTGTGATATGAGGGACAGACTGGTTCTGAGATGTAAACTCTTCCTTCGTGCTTTTATGTAGAATATTGCTCTTTCAGGGACGGATCAGGATTTCAGGAGAGAGCAGGGATTTCACTCAAATCTGTTATGATTTTTTTTCTTAGCTAGAAATAAATATTCATAATGGGAACACTTTTCAAGAGGTGGTGATTATATATATAATTTAAATGAATTGAGTAAAATTGTTACTGGGAAGTTTGGAATTTGCTATTGAACAAAATTAAATGTTGCGGTACTGGAAAAATTTACGAGTGCCTCAGCAAGCAGGGTAATTACCAATTCAGAATTCAGTAATTCATATTACACTTGTCCTGCTTTCAAGAAAGATCGAAAGAAAACAAATTTTGAAATTAAACGCAAGTTGACAAAACTGCATGCGTAACCGCGAAGTCGATTTCTTTTCCTTATCACAGGAAAACGTAGGCTTCTAAAAAGAGAACAAAAACAACAAGAAAACAACGAACTACCGGCTTGCGCAAAAGAGATTCTTTTCTCTAGAGTCAATGTGCAGAGTCCATCACCGTATCTCATTTCCAACAGGAGCTCGTTTCCGAGTACCGGAGCTCCGCCTCCACGTCAACTGTCGGAGAGATAAGATGTTCCACGCACGCGGTAAAAACTCTTTGCTTGGAGAGCGGGCGGTAGGCACCCAGACTTATCGCGTCTACAGACGCTATTTCTGCGGACGACTCACCGTCGACAAAGCGGGGGGCGGGGGGGGGGTGAATGGAGGGGCACTGGCAGGTGTCGAGACGGTCCACGCGCGCCAGACGTCGCGACGCGAGAAGCGAACACTTTCTACAGCCGGTGAAGCAGAGGCCTTTCCAACGTAGATCACAGAGGTCCTTCTAATAGGCGCGACAATCGTCGGGGCCTTCCGAACCTTTCTCCTCCTTCAAACACTTTTTTGCCTTTTGTGATGAAGTTCCCATTGCCTCTGAATATAATGAAAGATGGCGCTTGTTGATGTTTACAAGTTTAAATTTATTTTTGTTTAGCAAATATCAAATTATTTACTCATATTTATGCAGAAACGAACAAAAAAAAATACGATACATTTTTTTTTGGGTTCATTTCTTTCATAAGCAGCTACACTTTTATATGCTGCGATACATTAATCGTAGGTGGTGGTGTGCATTTAAAGGGGGAGTTTCATTAATATATTTCATATTTGACTCATTCTGAAACTCTAATCGACGTAATTTCATTCGTAGTATAGTCTTATTAACCAACACTTGTGCTTTGGACATTTTCAATACTCTCGAGGCGTCGAGTTCATGACTTATTGACTGCCTGTCTGGCGTAATAAGAAATTCGTACTTAGAATTCGAAAACGTAATCTAATATTACATAAAAACGCGATTGACTCTTGCAACATGATAAAGGAATGCCTTTAGAATCCACATATTTAAGCAGCTACTCTTTATTCGCAGTATCATGAAAATTACGTAGTATAACAAACATCAAATAGTAGAGTACAGAGGATCAGAGATGCAACTGTAGCTCCTCGGAGCCAGTGCCTATCACACACATTTTAATTGGATCATCAGCTGCACTGCATTTTTTCTCTTCCAGAGACACATTAAAAGGCCGCAGGACATAGGCACAACTAAAACGTGAGATCTTCCCGCATATACAGTATATTTTCTCTATTATTTGTTATAATTATTATTATTATTATTATTATTATTAACAATAACTAACAACAATAATTTGCTTATATATTTATTTGCTTATACATACATACATACATACATACATACATACATATGTATATGCTATAGTAGTTTCAAAATACTGCTGTGTGTCGATTAACAGTCAAACTTTTCCAAACATAATTACTCTTGTATTATTAGTCGTAATGTAGAAATGGTAGGAATTGGTGAAACTTTTTGTACTCTCCAGTGCCTCGCCTTTCGACTGTCCGTCCAAAATATCAGGAGCCACCTCTGTAAGGAAGAGCAGTGAAGCAACCGCGACGCGCGAGGCGAGCGGCGAAGGACCTTGGGGCGAGGAGGTCGCGGCGCGACCCGCCACCGCCGCCCACGAGAGCAGGGCAGTCCAACAGTTGACGGCG